GATTGGTGGGCCTGGGCCTCACGGTCTGGGTGGGGGTGGGTGGGGGAGATGGCTCACCTGCGGCTGCTTCCTCCTCCTTCTCCACATGGAGTTCCTTCTCGGCCCCCCCCCCGTAAGTATCACGGGTTCCCGCTTCTTGTACATTCTATTAGATTAATTATTGGATTAGCTATCAGATATGTAGTTAATACCAGGTTCTCTGACTGAAAAGGCTAGGCGGGGGAAAAGTAATTTTAAAAAAATGATTTGTCTCTTACTGCCAGATTCAAATACCACATTTGTTAACAAGAACTCATACCCAAGAATGGTCTGGACCTCCTTATGCGTACCAAAAATGCACAGGCTACACCAGTTCCCTGAATCAGAAACCTTAAAAAGAATGGGGCACATGAATGGCCCAGTTTACCCACTTCGCCATTACTTCCGGTTGCCGTCCCAACTCCATGATTGAGAAAGCCAACTGACTTGCAGTGGTGTCATGACCTGCATGACAGAAAGTCGAGTGAGGTGGGGAATATGGAGGGAAACAAAACAAGAAACTGGACATACTCATCTCTTCAATGCAGGAAGTTTAAGTTAAAATACTTCCAATGTAATTACCAAAATGTAAACTTTCACACGTGTCTGTGTGGGTGGATGGATGGATGGAGATAGCTCACAGCAAGCTAGCTAGGTTGGACTTCAGTTGTGTGAGAAATCCCTTTCTCTGGTCCTTCCCTCAGCTAATAAACCTTTTGTCTTCCTATCAGTAAGTGGCTGAGTGGGATAGCATTCAGAGTGGTCTTTATGATTCTGGGCCCCTGGGTAAAAAACCCAGGATGGGTCCCCAGAAACACTGCTACCCCTGCCGTCCCACCCCTCTGGGGCCAAGCAAGGGGTAACCCTCCCCCTGTGTGAGGCAGACGGCAGCTGCTGCAAGAAGCTGGCTGGCTGACCACCATATGAGGTGCACATGAGTGGCCATTGCTGCATAGCCAACTGCCTGAACCCTAGGCAGGGTGGGCACAAGTAGCCACAGCAAAGCCAGCTACCTGAGCCCTGAATGGGGCAAGTGTGAGTGGCCTCCTCTCCCCCCCCCCCGGTTAGGGGACCAGGGCTACGGATAGTTGGGGGCCCACCAGTAGGGAGCCCAAGGCAGCTGCCCTGGCAAACCATTGACACACTTCCCGGCTGTGGCCATTTGAAAATAACAGAGCCATTGTCAGGTTTGGCCCAACTGTAATGGGAAAGTAGGCAGCTGTCTAGGGCACCAAGCTTTAAGGGGTGCCAAGTCAGAAGGCAATTTATCTTTTATCTTTTAAAATTAATATTTCTGTCTTATAAATGAAAGTATCAAATACTGTACACATTTTTCTCTATAATGGGGGGGGGATGCCGTAGCCACTGTTTAGTTAAGGTGCCTCAAACCCTTCAGTCTGCCCTGGTTGTTATCATACTGTCACAATCTGCTGTATTAGGAAGAAGAAGAAGAGATTGGATTTATACCCCGCCCTTCACTTGGAGTCTTAGAGCGGCTTACAAACCCCTTTCCCTTCCCCTCCCCACAACAGACACCCTGTGAGGTGGGTGGGGCTGAGAGAACTCTGACACAAACTGCTCTTTCAGGAACAGCTGTGCCAGAGCTTGTGACTGACCCAAGGTCACATCAGCAGATGCAAATGGAGGAGTGGGGAATCAAACCCGGTTCTCCCAGATTAGAGTCCGCACACTTAACCACTACACCAAACTGGAAGAAGGGGAATATCCTGTTCCACACATCCCACCGTGGCAAATGTATGCTTTCTAGTGTGTATACATGCAGCAAAGAGCCACAGCCAATGACAGCACTCTGCCATACATATCTGTATGACTCATTAACTGGTGAATGCATGTCTTTTGCACATGCACGCTACATTTTTACACCGACACACAAAACAAGGTTTTGCACACACATGATAACAATATAACAAGTAGCCCCATGAGCAGATCCTCTTGCACACACCAACAAGAGACTGGCTGGAATATGGGGATGTATGAAAGCCCACTGTAGATGTAACATGGGCTCCATACAAAATAGTTTGCAAACAAGGAAAGAGACCAAGATGGGGTAGCCATGTTAGTCTGTCTGTAGCACAGAAAAGAGCAGGAGTCCAGCAGCACCTTAAAGACTAATGAAATCTGTGGCAGGGTAGGAGCTTCCATGAGTCACTGCTCACTTCTTCAGATATAGCTGTACCTGAAGAGGTGAGCAGTGCAACAAATTTGGTTAGTCTTTAAGGCGCTACTGGACTCCTGCTCTTTCAAACAAGGAAAGAGGTCCAAGGAGGAGGAAAGCACTGCTCCCTCCCCCCATTTCCAGGAGTGATGCCTATATTCTTGCCCCAATTTTTAACTGTGGTTTTCCATCACATGCGCACTGCAACCATTATGGATGCAAATCAGATTCCTTCCTAACCATGGTCTATGAGCTAATCCACATTATGATTTCACTTACAAGCAAACCACAATTTGTGTCAGTGGACATACACGGCAATGTCATGGTTGAAAGGAAAGGAACGGAAGGGCGAATTCCTTCTGTAAAGTGGAAACTAGAAGAACGCATTCACAAAGTTGGCTCCCTAACTGGATATAATTTACAGGCAGGCTAATTGGTATTTGTGCATGTCCAGGGCTATTTTTGGGCAGGAACGCACAGGAACGGAGTTCCGGTTGGCTCCCAAGTTGGCCACACCCAGCAGGAATATTAGCATAATAGGCCACACCCAACAGCAGAAACTCATTAGGATTGGCTACATTAGGGGTGTGTGGCCTAACATGCAAGGGAGTTCCTGCTACAAAAAAGGCCTGGGTTTTGACAACAAACAGGGTAAACAGAATAACAAGCAAAAGGTGGGTGTGGCTGGATAGCCACACTTCTGGTAACATGGGGTGCAGCCTAATGTGCTAATGAGCTGTGCTGTCAGGGGTGTGGCCTAATAGGCTAATGTGTTTCTGCTGTTGGGTATGGCCTATTATGCTAATGAGTTCCTGCTGGGCTTTTTCTACAAAAAGAGCCCTGTTCTATGCCACACATGCACACGCTTGAAGGCGCTGTGATGATCTGTCATGCAACGATTTACTGGAAAACATTTCCCAGGCTTGAATGCATGTGATGATCAGGCTTAATTGTCCTTTCCCTTTAAATCCTGCAAATGTTGGAAGGAGGCTAACAGTTATGTAAACTGTGTAAGGTTGAAAGAACTCCTTTCAGGTGCTTCTTCCCAGGAATGAAGCCCTCATTGTTAATGGAAAAGGTCATCCCTATCAAATGGTTACCTCATTAGCTGAAGTAAACAGTATAACTGCCAGGTGAAAATCAGCTTCAAGGGAGGATGGAGGTGGCAACAGAACCAAGTTTGGGCATGCAAGATTAATTGTTGCCAGCCATGGCTGAAGGAGTGGATGCACTGTGTGGGAAGCTTATGTCTGCAGGACTTTATTTTACAGTGCACAGTGTAAGTTAGTCTGCCTAGATGTCGTTGGCTTTTTATGTTCAAGTCCTGGGTCAAGTACTGATAATTGTGTTTATGTGTAAAAAGGAAAGAATAAACTTTTTCTTTGTTGTCTGTTTTAAAAAGGTGTGGTTAAATGGAGTGGATCTTAAGGGAAAAGAACTCACAGATTCATTGCAATGCACACAGAACGTGTAAAGTACTGGATACAGTTAGGAGGCCCAAGGATATAGCAATGAAATTTAGCAGTGGAAGATATCTCGCTGTGGTTGAGTCCATGCCAGGATATGCTATGGATGTTCAGTCCACAAAAACATCCATGCAGGGAAATGCTTATTATGCATGGGAGGTAGAGAGTTGACAAAGATAAAAAATTTTCTCTCTCCAGAAATACTAGAACTTGAGGTCATCCGATGAAGCTCATGGCCAGGAGATTCAGGACAGATGATATTTACACAGAGAATGATTAAAACATGGAGTTCACTGCCAAAGGTAGTGATGGCCACAGGAATAAACAGCTCTAAAAGGGGATTAGATAGATTAATGGAGGATTAATGGAGGATAAATCTATCAGTGGCTACCAACCATGGTGACTGAGGGGAACCTCCACATTCAGAGGCACTAATCCTCTGAATCCCAGAGCCAGGAGGCAACATCTGGGGGAAGTCTTCTTGGCCTCTGTACCTTATTGTTGGTCCTCCAGAGGAACTGGTTAGCCACAGTGTGAGACAGGATGCTGGACTAGATGGACCACTGGTCTGATCCAGCAGGGCTTTTCTTATGTTCTTAACCTAGTATCAGGTGGTGTGTGACATATTATCACTTTGAACTGCTCTTTGGTCTAGAGATTATTTCTGCAATTTAAGCCCAATTCTCATTTACTTGGCAAGAACTTTAGATACTTATAGCATCAAGTCATATTCAAAAGGCAGTGACCCAAGTGGCTGATCATTCATTTATTAGTATCAATTTGGCCAATTCATTGACCCAGACAAATTCCCTGATGTGAATGCCAGCAGTGATCAGGATATACATCCACATCCCTGTTTGGATGAACCCTCAGCAGGGCCGTAGCCAGTAATGGGGCTTTAGGGGCTCAGCCCCCTATCAGTTAGGGGTGAGCCCCAGTGAATCCCCAGAGCCCTTCCCCAAGCTATTAGAAAAGTATTACTTTGAATTTAGTTCAGCCGTGATGCACTGAAGCCGGCTGCTGGTATAATTTGACTCCTTCCTTGCTTAGGGTTGCCAAAAAAAAAACCCTAGTTTGGCAGGGGTCCCCTGCTTTTTTGGGGGTTCTACCAGCTGGTCGACGGGGGAAGCCCCGCCCCCAAGCCCCAACACCCGCAGCCAACCCTCTCCCTCCTCCCTGCACTTAAAGGGGCTCCCTTTAAATGCAAAGAGCTGGCGTTTCCCGCACGCCCGATCTCCAAGTGGAGATCGAGCGTGCAAAGCCTTCCAGCTCCCTGCACTTAAAGGGGCCCCCTTAAGTGCAGGGAGCTGGCATTTCCCGGCGCGCCCGTCAGGCAGGTGGGCGTCCCCAACATGACGTCATCACGTCGGGGATGCCCCACTCCCTCCAGGATTGCCCCCCAAAGTCCCCTGCTGGGGGCTAAAATGGACTTGGCAACCCAATCCTTGCCTGATTCATTCCTTCCTCCACTCTGCTGCTATCAGCTGGCCGGGACTCTCCCAGAATTGCACCTGGTGACTGGGGCTGCAGTGATCAGTAACTCTGGGGAGGCAGACCTCATGGAGCACAGGCGGGTGAAGCCCAGGCTGTTTTAAAGGGAAATGGGGGGGGGGGGAGGCTGGGCAGGGAAAAAAGGAAGGCAGGAGGGAGGCGAGCAAGCACCCCTGGTGTGGTGAGGAGAGGCAGGCTTTTGCCATGGTGGGGCGGCCTTCTTTGCCTTTCTCCCCCTGCACTTGGCTTGCCGGCCAGTGGGCGCGGGAAACCCTCTCAGCTCGGTGCCCTGCCATCTGGCTTCCTCCTCTTCAGGTCTCCTTGAGGGGAGTAACACGTGGTGACTCCCAAAATCCCAACGCCCCCTCCCAGAACAGTTCCTGGCTACGGGGCTGACCCTCGGAAGCCTGATTCTAATATCTGCAGATCTTATTTGGTAGATCAGCATGTTTGTGTGTTAAAAAAGGGCAAAAGATCTACAAACCTGCAAAGAAGAAGGTGACAAAGTTGTCCAACATGCTCTCATAATCGCAATCCCCCTCCTGTGCTGTTGAGGCAAGAAACAAAGGGCAAAGGTTGACATTCTGCTCCAAAGGTACAAGAAGGCAAAAATACAGTATGGCTCTGGAGCCAATGCCTACAGAACAGAAGTGACAACAGAATCTACAAAACAGAGGCGGTGGGGGGGGGAATCACTCTCATGTATTAAGCTTTGAACAAAGACATTTTAAGTCCAAGATTCTCCTTCAGTGATCACACAGAAAATATTTTCTGGAAGAAGCTGCCTGAGGAATTTTAACCATGCAATTAACTAGAATGTTTGTTGTACATGTTCTGGTTTCCTTTTGGTGTTTGTTCCCAGGACCGGCACCTGCTTTTCTGCCCTGTTAACAAAATTTCTGCTCTGTTGCCTCATCCAAGACCGAAGAAGAAGAGGCAGGGATGAAGGGCCCAGGAAAGACCACTGGTGGCAAGCCACAGACTGAAAGCAAAGCGTGGCCATCAGAGCAAGCCCTTGAGGCCTGAGCAGTGTCAAGAAACTTCAGACGGACCGACTGAATGTGTGTGTGTGAAACCTTCATGGGCAAGGAGCACATTTTAAAGGAGGCAGTGAGCCGATGTGTGATGCTTGAGAGCCTGCACATGACTGGAAGAGCAGAGAAACAGCTGGGATCAGGGAATTAGCTCTCAGCTGCAGGCTGTGGGCCTGGAGGCAGCAACAGGAGGAGAAGCCTTGGGAAAGGACAAGAGAAGGCTTCACTGGCTGCTGAAGGTGATGGAGCTCACCAAGAGAAGGCGAGACAGGCACAGGCAGCAGCTCTAGGGACTGAGGTCTATTAGGAGATGGCACGGGACAGAAGGAGCTGCGGTAGCTCAAGTGGTTAAGACGCTGAACTGCAGGCTGTGGAAGGTCGGTAGTTCAGCAGTTCGAGACCCGGGTGCCGCAAGACGGAGTGAGCTCCCATCTCTAGTTCCAGCTCCTGCCAACCTAGCAGTTCGAAAGCAAGAAATTGCAAGTAGATAAATAGGTACCATTTCAGTGGGAAGGTAACAGCATTCCGTGCCCCTTGGTGTTTAGTCATGCCGGCCACATGACCACGGAAACGTCTTCGGACAGCGCTGGCTCTTCGGCTTTGAAACGGAGATGAGCACCACAACCCTAGAGTCGGACTCGACTGGCTTTCAAGCAAGGGAACTTTTACCTTTGCAGGACAGAAGGTGTGGGAGAGGAGCACATTGGGAAGCGCAGAGAGGACACCCCGGAGAGAAGGAGAAGCTAACGTTGCCAACCAGCCAGACAACCACTGGCCCAAATGAATTTCTTCTTCACTGAAATTCCTTAGAGGGGCTGTGGCTCGGTGGTAGAATGTCTGCTTGGCGTGCAGAAATCTCAGGCTCAATCCCCAGCTTCTCCAGCAGAAAGGAGCAGGTAGCAGGTAATGTGAAAGACCTCTGCTGCTGCCAGGCTGAGTAGACAATACTGTCCTTGATGGACCAAGGGCCTGAGTCAGTATAAGGCAGCCTGATATGTTCCTAAGTAAGAATGGATCAACACTTCCTTAACCACTGCGTTCAATTGCAAATCTGGTATTACAACAAAGTACACTATCTAAAACGTATAGAACTAATTTTCTGTCTCAGAGTTAGAACCAGTTGCTGTAGGGTTCTCAGCCCCCAGGTCCCCGCTTTTAGGGGCCTGGACCCCACCCCCAAACAGGGATGCAGTGATGTCACCCGGAAGTGACGTCATTGCATCGCCAACGTCAGGGGGTGACGCTCTAGTTTTTGGGCACACTCTATGGTTCTAAAGGCAAAAAACCCCATAGAGTTTTGCCCAAAAACTAGAGCGTCACCCCCTGATGGTGCCAACACAATGACATCACTTCTGGGTGATGTCATCGCACCGTGCACACAGACTGCCCCGGAGAGGATCTAGGAGCCCCCCCCCCCCACCGTCCAGGTAGGACCTGGCAATCTTAAATTGCTTACATTTATTTAGCATATCTGTATTCCCTTTTTCTCCCAGTGGGAACCAAAACAAGCTAACATTACAGGGGAAAAAACCCCAGCAATAAACAAGAAAGGGAGGGAAGTTTCTGATTATTAGTTGGGTCTTTGCTGTCCACAGACTGATCCTTCTGCCCATCTTCAGACTCCAACCCTTCAGGCTAGGACTTGAAGGACAAGAGCCCTTTGGTTCTCGCCCTTAGGCTCATGCCCAAGGCCCTGTGCCCCTGGGTACGCCCAGGCCTTAAATACCTGTGTCCAGAGAAGAAAGAAAACTCAGCAAGGTGTCACTCAGCTGCTGTTAACTATCAGGATTTTCCCTAGTTTCTCCCCACATTCTCATATGAAGATGCTGAAAAATGGTTCAGATCATGAGGAGGAGGACAGGAAGGGTTGTATCAGGGCTTAGTTCTTGTGGCCCTTTCTTACATGCCCAGGGAAATGCTGGTCGCCACTTTCGAGTCAGGCAGCAATTTTTCTCCAGGCCAGTTTGGCCAGGGATCCTGGAGGTTTTCTGCCATCTTCCGGGCATGGAGCTGGGGTCACTGGGGGTGGGATGGGGGTATTTGTGAATTTCCTGCATTGTGCAGGGGGTTGGACTAGATGACCCTGGAGGTCCCTTCCAGCTCTATGATTCTAGGATTCTTTCCACAGGGGCTCCCCTACCTGCATTCTTCAAGATCTGAGTGAGAATATCCAAGGGGGTCTCCTCTTCATTCTGAATAGCCTTGCGCCTCTGCTCAATACATTCGTTCCCAGTACGCCGTAACAGTCTCAAATTCTCTTGAATCTCTTTCACCACTTTTCTGTTCCCTGGCATGTACTGAAAAGATGACAGGTGTTATGATGAGCACCGAAGCATACAGCGAAACGTGGCATGAAGGAAGGTGTGATACAAGCCGTATACTTTTCCGTCAAGGCAGGGAGTGGTAGACTGGTCAGACCCCTGGTACATTTCTGGTGGATCAGCGAACACTTGCTGATTGCTGGGAACCTGACAAACAAGACTGGATTATCTGGATCGTGGTCTGATCCTGCAAAGCACCTTTGTTCTTAGGCAAGGAGCGTAAAATTACTTTTTACAGGTTAAAAAGAGCAAGAGTCCAGTAGCACCTTAAAGATTAACAAAATATGTCGTAAGTCACTGCAGACAGACTTGATCTTTTTATAAGTTAGTTCTGTCTTAGCTATCAGGAGATATTGATTATGCACTCTTGGTTTTCTCAAGTCTGGGCATTCTAATAACAGATTCCTGCAACATCTGTTTTCAGGTCTTCCTTGTCTTAATTCCTTCAGCTTGTTTCCCTGTCTCCTGCTTCTGGGATTTGGTTTTTCCACCCTTTCTACATGCACCATGCATCTTCACCCTTGCCATCATTTGATTTCAGATTCTAAGCCTAGGGAAGGACCTTGTGATTTTAAGAAAAACTGTTGTTGTACACTACTTAGCAATGTTGCATCCGTCAGCCTGAGAACAGGCGTGGGTCCAGTGCCAATCCAACACCCAGCTAAAAAATCCAGAGCATGTGTTTAGGGGCTTCTCTCTCCAGTTAAGAGTGATGTGCTGTAAGAGAACACTGGGTCAACATCCCTGTTGGCATGGGTTTATGGCCTGGAGGCAAGTAGGCATACAGACGAATGGCCAAACTAGAACGACTGGCTCTCCTTGGTGTTTTGTTTTAAGAAAAACACCAGCTGTACAAGGCCTCAATTTGGGCTAGGACTATGGTGCAAGTGGAGGGGGGGGGTTCATTGTGCAGCAATTAAAACTGACCCCTCCCTTTGCCTGTCTTTTTTTTCTTGGCTAATAACTGGGGGAGTACAGAGAGAGAAAATTCATGGGGGGGGGATACTTCACTGGCCTTGAATAAAGGTTTGCGCGTCTCGGTCATTCCTTGCGCCATCAGAGACATAGCACGTGGGAAAGGCGACAGGTCATTGCTGAGGCTGTTCAATTCTAAGCCGAAAGCCACCTGATTATATTGAGAAAAACGAGATGATTAGTCAAACATCTGAATACCTTTGGGGGTTGGAGAGTAGGTTTATACAGGGCTATTTGGGGGCAGGAACACACAGGAACGGAATTCCGGCTGGCTTCAGAGTTGGCCACGCCCACTACAGCCAAAACCTCTGCATGCGTGGATACAGAGGGAAGGCCTGGAGAGCGACCCTCCCCCAGCAACTCCGAGGCAGGTGGGCCAGGCCCCCCCTGGAAGGATCGGGGAGGCCTTTAAATGCCCCCATGCCTTCCCCAGCCTGTCCAAGGGCACTTAGCACTACCTCCCCCTCCAAAAAATGAACATATTGTTTTAAAATAGTTTCTGGCATAAACACACATTAACACAGTGAACATCCTTGTGCTGTGGTGGCAGCTGTTGCTGAAGCAACTTCTAAAAATACTTGGTGGGTACCAGGAAAGGGGTCAGCAGGTGCCACGGTGCCCACAAGCACCATGTCGGAGACTCCTGATTTAGTGGCTTATGGTAGCAGTCCATGGCTCAAGTTCCTGGGCCAGTGTCCCTGACTGCCCTACTCTTATCAGGACCCCATGGCAGCTCTTCCATCATGGGAACTAAACCCGAGGCCTTCTGCATGCCAAACAGACACTCTGGTACTGAGCCACAAATGGACCAGCAGTTTTGTTTGTCATGAGCAAAAACCCACTAAGTACCTTTGCGATGATGTCAAGAGTCACCCGTCTCAGCAGGTCCATCATATCTACTTCTGTCTCTCCGTCGGCTTTCTCTTCCAGCGCCTTCATAAGTTCTTCTGCTTTGTCATTGAAGGTTCCCATCAAGCCAATCAGGTAACTGGACAATTTTTAAAAAAATTACTGCTGAGGAGGAAGCTTTGTGGTGAGACAAGATTGCCTTCTGTAAGAGAACAGCGTGTGTCCAGTATGTCATCACGTAGAGACACGCTCATTTAAGTGGGGAGGTGTCCCTACAAAAGACTGCCCCTCAGAACAGACTTCCAGTCGACACTCTGAGACAGCCTGGAGATTCATTCAAAAGGAGGCTCTTCCTAAGACTTCTTTTTTTGTCTGGGGTTGTCTCAGGAGCAGGACTCGCCTCCCCTTTTCATTTCCCCACATCTATTCTAGTTATCACGCCGTTATGTCCTGTTCCTACAGTATCATCTTGGATAAATGTGCAGCTAATCTCAAAAATCAGCTAATCTGGAGCTGCAGTGGCTCAAGTGGTTAAGACGCTGAACTGCAGGCTGTAAAACGTCAGTAGTTCAGCAGTTCGAGACCCGGGTGCCGCAAGACGGAGTGAGCTCCCGTCTCTAGTTCCAGCTCCTGCCAACCTAGCAGTTCGAAAGCAAGAAATTGCAAATAGATAAATAGGTACCACTTCAGTGGGAAGGTAACAGCCTTCCATGCACCTTGGTGTTTAGTCATGCTGGCCACATGACCACGGAAACGTCTTCGGACAGCGCTGGCTCTTTGGCTTTGAAATGGAGATGAGCACCGCAACCCTAGAGTCGGATTCGACTGGGTTTCGAGCAAGGAAAGTTTTACCTTTAATCTCAAAAACCTGCAAGGAAATGGATATTATAGCCTCCACTGGGAGCTCCTTCCCCTGATCAGGAAATTCCTTCTAGCATTTCAAGGCAAGAATTAGCCGTCATGATGACAACCACACTTCTTTGTTTCAGCACCACTCATCTCTGGCACTGGATCTGGAGTGGGATAAAAGGAGTCTGAGCAGCAGGGTAGCATGGATGGAAGCATGGATGGAAGACAGGTGGGCCTGGCGTGACGTGGCTCATGGGGTCGTGAAGAGTCGGGCTCGACTGTGCAACTGAACAACAGCAACAGCTTATCTAGCTCGATCTTGCCTGCTATGGCTGTTATCACTACTGTACCCAGAGGAGGTCCTTCTTTGCTGATTTGCCCTGCTGCCCTCTCTGATGCCACAGTTCAGGATCAGATCCTGGACAACATAACTTCCAGTAAACCCCACAGAACTGAGTAGAAACTAATTCTAAGAAAACAGAGGAGCAATGTAAATTTACTAATCCAGACTGAAGTCAAGAAAAAGGGAAGAAGAAGAGAAGAGGAGATTGGATTTATACCCTGCCCTTCACTACCCAAAGGTGTCTCAGAGCGGCTTACAAACTCCTTTCCCTTCCCACAACAGACACCCTGTGAGGTAGGTGGGGCTGAGAGAGCTCTGACAGAAACTGCTCTTTTTCAAGGACAGCTCTTATCAGAACTACGGCTTGCCTAAGGTCATCCAGCCAGGTGCAAGTGGAGGAGTGGGGAATCAAACCCGGTTCTCCCAGATTAGAGTCTGTGCACTTAACCACTACACCAAACTGAAGATGAAGAAGAGAACAATAGCATATTTCAAGCAAGTTTTTTGTCTCACCTTCGACTGAAAGCTGGATCCATGATTTTCCGCTGCTTGTGCCAGTGGTTATAGTCACGATCTGTTACCAAGCCATTCCCTAAAAATCTGAAAGAGTACAGAAAAAAACAGTATCCGTATCAGATCCTCTGAACTATCGTGTGGACGATGAGGAACACATCTCAAGCTCACTCACTCCTGCTTACACGCTAGTTCCTTTCTTCATTTCTTTGTTTCCTCTAACCATAGTTTGCCATGAGGCATAAAGTGGGCAAACCATGGTCAAGTGATTTAGACCCATGGTCAAATGAGTTAATAAACTACAGATTGGAAGCAGATTTTATTCATTCATTTATTCCTTTATGAAATTTCTATGCTCGCTTCTTCAGGCGACTTACAACTAAAATAATAAATTACTGGTATAAAAACAACCAGCTATTGACACAAGCATTATCATTTTGTAAAGTCTTAGCCCCAACAGCTCTGTATGCCCCACCTTTGTAGGGATGATGGGTAATGACCAGAGACAGGGCCTTCTCTTTGGTGGTGCCTCAAATATAGAAACGTATGGCGTTTGCCTGGCATCAATTTTTTTTAAATCTCAAGTACCAGGTGAAAATTTTATTTCTTTCCCAGGCATTTTGTTTAGCGCATGCAATACAGCCTGGCTAGGAAGCTTGTGCCCCTTGCTTGCTTGTTTTTAACTGTGATTTCTTTGGAAAGCATGCCCAATTAAATTAGTCGAATTTGTTTAATTAAAGATAACACAAGCACGGCCCTGAACTGGATGACCCACGCTAGCCTGATCTCATCAGATCTCGGAACTGTGTGATTGGATACAGGCCAGTAAATACTGTCGGGATGCATTGTTTTGTTTTGTTTTTAAATCCCCAAAGGGATATTTTTATTTTGCAATGGACTACAAAACTACAAAGAAATATTAGGAAGGGGACTACAACTAGGGATAAAGGAAAGAAAACCACACTAAACTAAAACCCCAAGAGGAGGAGATCCTTTCACTGTTAATAAAAATGTTAGTACATCAAGTGTTAGTATCAAAATATACTTGTAGAGTTCTTGCTTATAACAGTTCACTATTTATATGTTATTTTGTTAGTTGTTATGCGAGAAATCTCTGATCATCTTCTTATTCTTCGCTTCAAAAGGTCATTTTCCAAGTCCTTCTGCCTTTACTTTGGCTTTCTGTCTCTAAAATCGTATACAACTCTGGCAGGTCCTGCACCCTTTTCTGTAGTAGAGTCCTCTTCTGTTCCAGAGGTAGCAGAGTCACTAGACTTCATTTCTTCCTCTTTGGACTCTTCCTCTGTTCCCAGCTGACGTCGCAAAAATTCTTTAGCTTTAAAGGTGGAGTCTATCTTCTCTCTTCTATCGTTGATCTTAAAGATGACACCTTCCGGGACCGCCCATCTGTACGATATTCCATTAGTTTGAAGGAAAGAAATTAAGTCCTTATAATTTTTTCTCTTTTGTCTAATTTCAAATGGAATGTCCTTTAAAGTTTTAATGGTTACATTTCCCATTTTAAGAGGAGTTGCTGATGTTGCTTTTAAAATAGCATCTCTGGTTTCTCTTCTTGAGAACCTGACCACTATTTCTCCAGGTAGGCTATTTTTTAAATATAATTGGAATATGCCCTGTAGGCTGACTCCATTTGGTTTACAAGTTCATTCACTATTAAGCCTACTACTGGAGAGATGAGCTCGGTAAACACCCTCTTCAGGTCCTCCCATTCCGTTTCAGCATCTCCCTGGAACCTGAGAATCATGTTTGCTTTTTCTATCTTTAGCTGCAACACTCGATTCTCTTGACAATTTTGCTTCGTTTCCACTTCTCCCATTCTTTTCTTCAACTTCTTGCTTGCGGTGTCTGTCTCTTTAATCTTCTCGTTTGCCTGCTCCACTTTTTTCTCCATTTCGTTCAGCTGGAGCTGCTGTGCGGCAAAGTTTTTGTTCATCATGGTCAATTGCTGGTTAATACCATCAAGTTGTTCTATCACCGGCTTGAGAATATTCACCAAGAGTTTAATGACATCTGTTCCCTCTTCCAGTTTCGGACTCTGGCTGACTGGTGGTTTCGTTTTAAACTTTCTTTGCTGGGCCGCCATTTTTGCTGTTTTGTTTACAGTTCTACCGCTTCTTCCCGAATCGAAAAACTTGCCCAACAACTTCGCAAATCAGAGAAGTCTCTCAAAACACCTTCGGTTTGTTTCCTCCCCTCTCCCCCTTCGTGTCACTTAACACTTAATTCGCATAAAAGGTGTCCCTCTTTGCAGTCTCTTTTATCAGCGGGGGGGGGATCGCTTTTAAAGTACTCCGTTTTATTCAGAACTCACGTTCATTGTCGGTCAGTTTCTCTGACAACGCTCAGTTTATACGCCATTCCACTCGATCTCCGGCGCTCGTCCCGGTCAGACCAGCTTGTGCCCGAAGGCCACTCAGTGACTGGACTGTTGGGGCAGAGGGGAGCCTCAATTCTCCGGCATTCCACCGTCAAAGAGGCTACCCCTCAAAAGCCCCCAGGCCTGGAGCCTAACACAAAGGCTCCGCAGGGGTGTCACTTGAGGTGGCACCCCTCCATGCTGCTGGTGTGCGATTCGCCCTTCCCCGGTGTGGGGAGAGCGTCCGCCATCGCTGCTCCGTAGACCGGAAGTCGGGATGCAATGTTTTGACCAATGTGCTGACAGTCCATTTGTGGGCAAGAATCTCATATTGAATTTATGTCTTGTATACTTTTGAAAAATTGAAATTGTTTTGTAATTGTCACAGAATGGTGCGGGGCACCACAGGTTTGGCACAGGTAGGACATCCCTTCCAGAGATATCTCCCTGCCCCCACACACCCTCCTTTCCCCCTGCCCCCTTCAGGCCTGGAGCAGGCGAGGGACTTCACTGGCTGCCATCACTCTGGTTCTGGGGTTTAACTGGGGAGGGCCCAGGTCACCGTTTCTGCTCCCAGACAACTCCCTCTCTACTTCACGGCATGCCCTGAATCTGTGGCGTGAAGGACCCAGGCAGAGTGAACCAGAAACAGTTTATTAAACAAATACTGTAGCAAGGAATAGCAAAACACAGCGGGGCAGAATCAACACAAGGACACTAGAACCACACAGGGTACAACTTACAAAGGAAGAAGCCAGATGGAAACTAGCAACACTCCCTAATGCAGCTGCCTTGTTAGTTCTTATTTCTACTTTGGTACATAATTCCAGTAGGCCACCCTCACCCCACTATGGGGCGAGAGATCAACTCCCTCCAAAAGCAGACTCACTGCTGCTTTCAGAGACTGAGCAACACCCTACCCTCCTTCATTGCACAGGGCTTCACACGCTGTTCGAGCTCTGCCTCCCTGACTAAGACTGGGACCTGTTTGTCCTCCCCTCCCCCCCCCCCCCCAGTCCAGTCCTGAAGCTTGGAAGGTGCCTGGGTTATGTATTCCTATTGCAAAATTTACACAAGGCCTCAGGACTTTGTGGAACAGAGGCCTCCTTGAGGCCGACAGGCTGCTCCTTCTTCAGCCTTGGGTCCAGGATCACGATAGCAATAAACACAAGCAATAGGGTTATGTGGGTATGTCTGTGCTGAATTTTTACATTCACAGTGAAGTAACATGATGACAGGTATCTGCTTAACAGCATCAGAAAACATCCCCCCCCCAAAAAAAACCTGACAAATTTAATCAACTGTTAATACTTTTTTTATCCCTTTTTTTTATAAGTTTATATTTGTGGGTTTTCTATATATTACATAATATATTTTGTCTCCTTACTTTAATACTTATCCCAAACATCAAGTATAACTTTAAATTAACCTACCTTACACCAAACAGATTAAAAAGACGCCCATACACAATTCGGTCCTTTGGGTATTGTGGTAACACCAGATACTCCTAAAGATAAATCACAGGTAAATCCACTTTCACATAAAATAGAAATGTCAGCTCTTATCGCCCTCGCTGCAGCAAAACATTTGGAAAAGATCTGGGATTTCGGGAGATCTAAGCCAACCTTCCCAGGTCAGAGTTCTGGACTCACTTTCAGAGACCGGCTAGTCAGTCACCTGGTGGGATGACAGTTTCCATTACTCTGCCTCGACTAGTACTCGGAAGGGTCAAGTTGAGGATGGTTACTAAAAAGAAGTCCTTAGGCTATCTTTCCCCATTAAACTTTAAATACCTTCATTTTGCAAACTGGGGGACAAAAGTCCATATGCAAGGAGAGGTGATGGCTAACTTTGGGGAAATCCATCATACCCCACTTGAAGTATAGGGGAAACGGAACCAACATGCAGTTTGCTGGTACACACATTTATAGTTTCAGTTGCAAAGATGGGCATATGTTCTGAGTAAGGGCTGCACTGTGAGCTATCTTCACACACATACAAGGTGAGATACATATTTCATAAGGTACCTTTACTCCTTCAGGACTTACTACCAATAGCGTGACTCTGTGGAAGACATTAAAACGAATAACTGGTCCGTATTCCTCAGCCCTATATTAAGGGGGGGAAAGACAAAAAAAAAATGTTTTAAAAGATAGAAGAACACCAACCCCACAACACAAACTACAGAACAACAAAGTATTCCCACCTCCTGCAAGGAACATATGAGGCATATGGGACAGCTGTCTCAAAGGGCAGATTTTGAGCATTTTGACGTCCCACAGGATTACCAATTGGTCAGTTACCTTAAACCTTGTATCCCACCCCATAATCAGACACTGACAATGTTACACAACAGGTTCAAATTTAAGATGGGTTGCCTTGATAGTTTGTAGTCGCAGAACAAAGTTTAAGTGCAGTAGTGTCAGCTATGCTGCCATGGGGGTTGGGGAGTTCATTCTGTGTCTTGTTAATTGCTACTGCATTCCTATCCCTGCTGTTCTGCCTTTGCTGCAATGCTTATCTTTACAGATGTGCAGGAGGTGGTTGTATTGTCTGGAAGTCTCCCACGTACCGTGAGAGACTCCTGGTTCCCAGCTTTAGCCACCTAACGGTTTCCTAATTTATCCCGCGCGCAGGAGGGTACCTAATTGGCCCATGCCATGGGGGGGGGGGTGCATACGAATACCCTATATCCTATTAGGCTCTATTGGTTGCCGCCATTCTTAAAAGTGCCTGTGTTACTGCATCTATAGCTTTGCAATAAAAGTATAACCGTTCCTGAATGCGTGTACTTCGTTGTTAGCTGTGGGTTCTGACAAGTAGCACCTTAGAAACCAACAAAAATATCTAGCTCCTTTTGTAAGACACAACTAAGAATGAAGATCCATCAGCGCTTATATCCAAGTCAGAAGATGGGAGGGCCAACCGAATGCAGAAGTACAATGCCAAAAAAAGGTAATAAGCTTGATTACAGCTAGAAGATATACAGAGAGGTGGGAAGTACAGAAAATTAGGACTGTAAGATAGACCGTCCCAGAGGCCCGTTCCCCGCTGGTGGCGCATCGGGCCCCGGGGGGAACCCCACCCTGACATGCACGTCACCCGGAAGTGACGTGACGATGCCGGGCACTCTGGGGGCGGGTTTTCCCTCGGATGGTCGTGGCCCCGCCCCCAGCGTGCCCGGCGGTGTCACATCACTTCTGGGTGACGTGCGTGCGGCGCGCGCACTTGGCAACCCTACTGTAAGAAGCTAAAATGACTAAACTGAGGCTATCATACTTTGGTCACCACATGAGAAGACACGACTCACTGGAAAAGGCAATAATTGTAGAAAAACTTGAAGGCAGTAGAAAAAGGCTGATAACCGTAAGTAAGACATTTTGGAGGTCATTAGTTCATAGGGTCAACATAAGTCAGAAGCAGCCTGATAGCATGTAGCACCCACAAAGAGATAACAATCTTAAACCCCTATTAGTCCTTGGGGGAGAGTTACATAGCCCTGAACTTGTCAAGGAATTCTAGTTCTGCAATCTAGCATTGTAATCTTCCTTTGAAGCTTCACTGTAGCAGAACTGCCACTGTTAGGTCAGCAATCCATTGCAAAGTTACTCCAGTCTAAGTCCATTGATTTCAGTGTCTACGACTGCACTGTTAGTAAATGAACCCAATTTGGGGGGATAAAATCTTTAAAATGCCCCAGTGAGGACTAAAGATATTCTGAAATGGAATCGAGGAGGAAGAGGAGATTAGATTTATACCCCGCCCTTCACTTTGAGTCTCAGAGCAGTTTACAATCTCCTTCCCTTACTCTTCTACACAATAAACACCCTGTAAGGCGGTTGGGGCTGAGAGAGCTCTGAGAGGACTGCTCTTAAGAGAACAGCTCTGAGAGAACTGCTGCTTGCCCAAGGTCACCCAGCAGCTGCAGGTGGAGGCGTGGGGAATCACACCTGGTTCTCCCAGATTAGTCCGCATTCCTGACCAGTACACCAAACTGGTTCCTAACCACTACACCAAACTGAGAGCAGGCTTCGCTTTGGATCGCACTACATGACATCTTGGGGGGGGGGATTTTTGGGAGTGGAGTCGGATTCCGTCCCTTCAGTTCCTTGCAGGCCTCCACCTTTTTCCTCCTATTACCAAACTGTGAGACCCCACCTATGCCAATCACAAAGGCAGCAAAGGTAGCAATCATCACTCAAGAGTGAGGTTTCTGTATTCCCAGGGAAACCCCTAGGTACAGAAGGGGAAAAAATTATTTTTCCTCTTCTTCCCCAAGTGCAAGGAAAACTCCAAAACTAGGGATAAACATGACTGCCAAAATATTAAAAATGGCAGCAGGAAGGTTAAGAGCTAGAGGATGCATTTCCCTCCCATTTTTGTTTTGTCCTTATTAAAACATTATTTTCATTTTATTTGTTATTAATTCCTTTTTGCTGCGTTCATTCTTCCTGTTACCATCTCCCCTCATTACTGCTCTTACTGTACTAGTAGATCTTGTTGCTGGCTATGCTTCTGTAAAAATTTGTAAAAGCAAATTGTATTTAAAAGCATATGTATAATCTAAAGTGTATGTATCATATAGGAGTTTACTTTTCAGTGTTAATGTTCTACACCTTTAAGAGAGAAGTATAACAACATGCAGCTGCTTGGAATCCATCATAATTCCTTTTAGAACTATTTTCCAGTGTGAGAAGTGGGGAGCATTGCCAGTTTATTATTAAAAGAAGGCTTTCAACCAGATAGATAAGAAACACTGAAGTGCTACTCCCTTATAGAGAGCAACCAGCCAACAATGTGAAATGGAGAGCAAATGCCAGCCAATTTAAAGTAGGCCTGTTGCCACATAAAAATTTGGACTGGCTGCTACGAGAAATTTAACAATTGGCTTGCTCCTATTTTAGTACTTGCAATGGAACTAAAAGTAAGTTTAAAATTATTCTCGTTAAAAATGATAACTAAACTATTCCATTCAGCTTCATGTCTTTTTCCACTCCTCATAACTATGCTTTTTACAGGATAATTTAACCAAGAAGAAAATAAGAAGCTATACTGTTTTAAAAAAGAAATTAAGCTGAATTTAGAAGTTGACACCTTCCAACTTTATAAGACTACTCATGAGGAAGATTGCTGAAATGAGTGTAAAAACCGGTGTGCTCATCAAGGATATATTATGTTGGACTTTGCTTTGTTTACGTCAGAATTCTCTAATTACATTGCAAGATTAATAGCTTCACAAATTGATGCTCACAGAATTATTAAATGTGTCATTATCAATTTTATCACAGTGGTTTTTTGTTTGTTGGCATGTATCTGCACACTGTGACCCCTTCTCTGACTTTTTTAACATTTCAAAGGATCATAAGGCAGTGATGGAAACAGTGGGTTTTTTGGGGATGATGGAATCCATCCCCTGCCCCAATTTCCCTCCTTCCAGAGATGCAAAGAAAAAGCTTCCAGCTCCCCTTCAGATGCACCATCCAACCATAGTGTGTGTGGGGGTGACAACAGGAATTTCCATCCCAACGGGACAGGAAGAATATATTTTAAATGCATCCCTAAGTCAGGGGTTCCCAACCTTTTTGAGCCTGTACGCACCTTTGGAATTCTGACACAGGGTTGCGGGCACAACCACAGATTGAAACAATGTTATTTTATTAGTTGCTGTAGATATTCCGGGTTGTGCGGCCATGGCCTTGGCATGGTAGAACCTGACGTTTCGCCAGTAGCTGTGACTGGCATCCTCAGAGGTATAAACACAGAAAGATGGAGTACTCTCTGTGTCAAGGTGAGAAGAAAAATGGTAGGCAGGTAATTTATATCTACTCCAGAGGAGGTTATGGGGGGACAGGATTGCTCACTTTAACTATTTGAAGGGCTGTCACTCAGAGGAGGGTGGGGAGCTGTTCCTGTTGGCAGCAGAGGAGAAGACTCACCATAATGGGTTTAAATTAAGGGCAGGAAGGTACCGGCTGGATTTTAGGAATAACTTTTTTGACAGTAAGAGTTGCTCAACAGTGGAATCAGCTGCCTAGGGAGGTGGTGAGCTCCTCCCCCCCCCACTGGCAGTCTTTAAGCAGCGGCTGGACAAATACTTGTCAGGGATGATCCTGTATGGCTCCTTCCAACTCTATGATTCTATGATATAAGATAATCTGATCAGAAAACTCCATGTACATCACTGCATCTGCCAATCAATACCAGTGTTCCCTCTAAGCTGAGTTGGTGTGAGCTAGCTCACAGTTTTTTAGCCTCCAGCTCACAGATTGTTGCTCTAGCTCAGGAAGGATGGCCTCAAAGCAAACTAATTTATGCAGCAACCGAATGGCTCGCTCCCAACTTTAATGCCCGTAGCTCACAAAGACGGATTTTCGCTCACAAGACTCCACAGCTTAGAGGGAACATTGATACCCCATTCTCATACACTTAATGAGAAGCTCACATCCAAATTGTGGGAATGAACAAACTCCTGTGAGGCACGCCCGGGACGAGTTCAAGTTCTCACAGGGGGATTGGCAAGCAGTGCGCAATGTCTGCTGAGTCTGCATGAGTTTGCTGAGAAAATAACCTTGGCTACAATGGGCAAGATAATATGAGCTTCAGCATAAAGAACATTCTGTTAAGATCATAGTGTGATCTTAGCTTAGAGGCTTCTTCTGCTTTGTAACGTTTTCACTGTACAATGAGTGATCTGCTCTAATAAAGCGCTGCTGACAGGCAGTTCGAGAGAGAACACACAGGACAGTTGGGACAGAGAGGGAGAGAACTGAGCTTGGTCAGAGAGCTTGCACAAGGTCTCTGTGTGTTTTGTCATTATTGTGTCATTACTGAACCCTCGAACCTACACCAAATTCTTCTACTGCCAGAAATTTAAGAGTTGAAATTCCTTGTATACTTCCAGATCAGCCAATATCATCATGCCCCTATATAAATCAATGGTGCGACCTCATTTGGAATACTGTGTGCAGTTCTGGTCACCACACCTTAAAAAGGATATTATAGCTTTGGGAAAAGTGCAGAAAAGGGCAACTCGAATGATAAAAGGGTTGGAACACTTTCCCTATGAGGAAAGGTTAAGGCGCTTAGGGCTCTTTAGCTTGGAGAAACGACGACTGAGGGGTGACATGATCGAGGTTTACAAGATTATGCATGGGAAACAGCAGGTAGAGAAAGAGGTAATTTTCTCCCTTTCTCACAATACAAGAACTCGTGGGCACTCCATGAAATTGCTGAGCGGTCGGGTTAGAACGGATAAGAGGAAGTACTTCTTCACCCAAAGAGTGATTAACACTTGGAATTCACTGCCACAGGAAGTGGTGGCGGCTACAAGCATGGACGGCTTCAAAAGGGAATTAGATAAGCATATGGGGAGGTATTTCAAGGACCCACTGATTTTTGATCCTGACCGATTTGCCAAAGATCAACCCAAGTGAGACCATGATCCAGCTTATTGGGAGAGTTGTGTTCAAGGTTCTTTGTTTCAGCAAAATGGATGTGTTGCAATCCCTGACCTGGGTGGCGCAGGCTATCTCGATCTTGTCCATCAGTGGCTATTAGCCACAAGGTATAGATAGGGGCTCTGGGGCAAGTGATGCTCTGTCTTCTTGGTGCTTGGGGGGGGGGGTCAACAGTGGGAGGGCTTCTAATGTCCTGGCCCCACTGGTGGACCTCCTGATGGCACTTGGTATTTCTGGCCACTGTGAGACACAGAGTGTTGGACTGGATGGGCCTTTGGCCTGATCCAACATTGGCATCTCTTATGTTCTTATGTTCTTACGTTCCTATGAAAGAGTCTTGGCTATTGGGATCATTGGTCTTAACTGGCACTGTTCCTAGCTTCTATTTCAAGCTGTTAAAAACTTACCAACCCAGAAAGAGATCGTGAATCAGTTCCTTATTTTTAAGCATTCTCCAAATGACTGGTAGATGACCAAAAAAAAAGCTGCAAATTAAAAAAAAGACACAGAGAAATATATAGACGCATGCACATATACACACACAATACACACTCACCTTCTTATCAAACCTAAATTTATTTCACGGCTTTAAAAGCATAAATACATCTTTTATAACTTAGTTAAACTTTAAAAGTGTATAAATGCCTCAGTTTTCTACAAATGTGAGCGCACACAATTCTTTGCCATCTGAGAGGTGAGGAAAAAAATGAATGTTGAAAACAGAAAACACAAATTTTCCAGCAAAGAAAATCTGCCCCCAAACAGACTAATTAGAACAAGTATGGCCAGCAGTATTTTTGAATATGGAGTTCAACTTTAACACTGAAAACACTGAACTAATCAAAAGTGTATTATCATTTTACATATTATTGCACATCCACTGTGGCCAAAATTGGTCAGATTTAAACAATAAACAATAAATACACGCATGAAAACTTGTTGCAATTTATTTATTAACGTAAGTCATTTATACCCGGTTTTTCTCCCCAGTGGGAACGCAAAGCGGCTTACACCATTCTCCTCTCGTCCAATTTATCCTCACAACAGCCCTGTAAGGTAGGTTAGGCTGCGTGTGTGTGACTGGCCCAAGGTCACCCAGCAAGCTTCCATGGCATGAGTGGGGATTTGAGCCTGTGTCTTCCAGATACTAGCCCAACACTGTGAACCACTACACCACGCTCACAGATGTCTACATGATACACAGGAATTATCATTATTTAACATTGTAGATTTTCTTGTGCAAAAAATCTTCTGCCTGTATCTCCTTGAATGACTAAAACCTTAAAAAAACATATCACTCATGGCCAGGAAGCAGGAAAAGAGGAGAGGCTATGGGGGCTTTTAGGAAAGGGGAAAAGGAGATAATGGAGGAGGGGAAAATAAGATGTCCCCCCCACTAGTTCTTGCAGGTCCCCCGCTTGTAATAACATAACTGGGTTGAATTCTAAGATCTGTGAGCAGGAACACCACTTGTAAACAGATCTTCCTGACTGAACCACCCCGTTTTTTGCAGCCTCCCAAAAAAAGCTATTTCTAAAGCTTGGAGGACAATCAGGAAGAGGGTGAGATGCAGGGCCTGGAATAACCGGAGTAATGGGCAATTACAGGACAAGTTATTTCTTTACAGATACAGGAACATCACTCATCCAAGGCAAGTTCCATCAAGAGGCTGAGCGGCTTGACTTCAGAATTGTTGGATCTACTTTTAAAATCTTTCATTGTTCACTGAATGCCTCCTGCCCTAAACTGGATGGCCCAGGCTAGCCCGACCCTGACAGATCTCGGAAGCTAAGCAGGGTTGGTCCTGGTGAGCATTTGGACAGGAGACCACCAAGGACGTCCAGAGTTGCTATGCAGAGGCAGGCAATGGCAAACCACCTCTGAATGTCTCTTGCCTTGAAAACCCTACAGCAGGGGTGTCAAATATAAGGCCCGGGGGCTGGAACCAGCCCATCCAGGGTTGTTATGCGGCCCGCGAGCAACGGGTGCAAGGGAGGGAGCAGGAGGCTGCTCGGGGGTGGGCGGGCAGAGCCATTCCAGTTGTAGCTTCAGCACGGTGGGACAACCTCATCTGCAGCAGTGAAGCCAAAACCCCTCACTTCAGGGACTGGTAAGTTGGGAGCCACTGCGGCCACATTCATACCTCTCCACTCAGCCTGAAGCTCCAGGGATGGTGTTCCGGATGGCTGCAGGGATCAGCGTTTGCACATGTGTGTGTGGGGTCTGTGTGCAGACAATCCTCTGTTGGGGCATGGGGGCATCTGCCCAGCACTGCACTACTTACTCTCCAGTCTGCATGTGGATTTTCCTCTGCACTCCGCTCCTAGCCCGTGGAGCCTTGCAGTGAGGACACACCAACTTGCAGCGGACTCTAATCTGGAGAACCAGGGTTGATTCCCCACTCCTTTTCCACAGGAAACCTGCTAGGTGAGTTTGGGCCAGTCACAGTTCTCTCAGAGCTCTTCTCAGCCCCACCTACCCGACAAGGTGCCTGTTGTGGGGAGAGGAAGGGAAAGCGATTGTAAGCCACTTTGAGACTCCTTTGGGTTGAGAAAAGTGGGATATAAAAACCAACTTCTGGAGAGCCGGGTTTGATTCCCCACCCCTCCTCCACAGCAAGCCTGCTGGGTGACCATGGGCCAGTCACAAGTTCTCTCAGAGCTGTTCCCTCAAGAGCAGTTCTCTCAGAGCTCTCTCAGCCCCACCTACCTCACATGGTGTCTGTTGTGGGGAGAGGAAGGGAATGTGATTGTAAGCTGCTTTGAGACTCCTTTCGGTAGAGAAAAGTGGGATATCAAAACCAACTCTTCTTCTAACCTTGAGAGCCGGGTTTGGTTCCCCACTTGCTATTCCTGATAAAGTTTTTATCTCTGGTACCTGGCATTACGTTCTATGGCACAGATGGCCCAGCTGGATAAAGTGACATTTATGTCAGATCTAGCCCTCATAACAAATGGAGACTACAACCGAGAAATCAGAAGAAGAATGAGACGGAGAAGGGCAACCATGAAGGAAAGATTCTTAAGTGTAAGGATGTGTCACCAGTGACCAAGATCAAGTTCATTCATGCCACAGTATTCCCTGTTACTATGCATGGATGTAAAAGTTGCACAATGAAGAAAGCTACAAAAAAGAAAACGCCACTGACAGAAAATGAATGCACAAGCAAATAAGCAAGTATATAATGATCCAATAAGCATAACAGCAAGTATAATATAAATCAAATAAGCAGAACAGCAAGTATAATATAAATCAATTGGCCAAGGTGCAATAATAAAGCATAATAGAAGCACAGTCTACAGTCTTTCCATGTGTCTACTCCAGCATAGAAGCAATATGAGAGTCCAAATTGAAGTGCAAGTCATCAAATTTTCTGAGCCATAAAAAGCCGACGCGTAATCCGGATGCCTGATGCAGTGTTTCGAATAATTCTTATTCAAGCATGGCTGTAATGGGACCCAGTCTCAAGAGCTGGCATATACTAAGCCAGAATGGTCAGTCAAGGAGGATTAAGGGTCCTTTTGTTGAGTCTGATGAGTTTTTTAAAAAGTGGACAGCTATCCTCAATAAATGTGCATTGGATTTAATGCTATTAATTATAGAAAAATACTTATGGCCAATGGCTTGGATATTTTTGCCTTTTCCAATGCTGATAAAGATAGATTGATGGCTTGTTTACCTGACGCTTTTGACTATGAAGATACTGGCAATGATGATTGGAAAAAGTGGTCTTTACTCAGTGAGAAAAGGTTGAGAATGCAATTACATGCTGTATTTTTAAAGGAGTACTGCAAAACAGCTAAGATTCCTAGGGGTTTAAGGATCCAAAAGGGCCCAACTCTTTTTGTTGAGTCTGATGAGTTTTTTAAAAAGTGGACAGCTATCCTCAATAAATGTGTATTGGATTTAATGCTATTAATTATAGAAAAATCAAAATACTTATGGCCCATGAAGAAAGCTGACAGGAAGAAAGTTGATACATTTGAAATGCAGCATGGGAAGAGAGTTTAACAGATACCGTAGACCACCCAAAAGACAAATAAGTGGGTTCTAAACCAAACCAAACTCTCCCTAGAAGCTAAAATGACTAAGGTTATCCTACTTTGGTCACATTATGAGAAGAAGTCACTGGAAAAGACAATAATGCTAGGAAAACTTGAGGGCAGCAGGAAGACCCACCATGGGATGGATGGACTCTATCAAGGAAGTCAAGTCTGCAAGACCTGAGCAAGGCTATTAACAGTAGGATGTTAACAGCTGCTAATGATAGGATATTTTGGAGGACATTAATTCATAGGGTCACTATAAGTCAGAAGGGATTCGATGACACTTAACACATGTGCACACACAAAGCTCTGGCATGGATTTTCTTGGTGGCCAGTGCATACAGTAATACCATAAGCGACTACCAATCGCCATCAGATGCAAGATAAATTATTTACTCTGCCCCTAATCATGATGGCTCAAGTAGTTAAGACGCTGAACTGCAGGCTGTGGAAGGTCAGTAGTTCAGCAGTTCGAGACCCGGGTTGCCGCATGATGGAGTGAGCTCCCGTCTCTAGTTCCAGCTCCTGCCAACCTAGCAGTTCGAACGCAAGAAATTGCAAGTAGATAAATAGGTACCACTTTGGTGGGAAGGTAACAGCGTTCCGTGCGCCTTGGTGTTTAGTCATGCTGGCCACATGACCACGGAAATGTCTTCAGACAGCGCTGGCTCTTCGGCTTGGAAACGGAGATGAGCACCGCAACTCTAGAGTCGGATTCGACTGGCTTTTGAGCAACCCAGAGGTGGTTTGCCATTACCTGCCTCTGCATAGCAATGCAAACTTCCTTGACGCTCTCCCATCCAGATACTGATCAGGGCTGACCCTGCTTGGCTTCCAAGATCCGACACGACCAGGCTAGCCAGCGCCATCCAGGCCAGGGTGGTGCTCCAATGCATACCCTTTTATTTAGCTAGGCAGTTGCTTTGTGTTATGCACTTCTGCACAACTTCACAGTGCCGTGCTACGCAGGTTTACTCGGAATTCAGCTCATGTTTACTCAGTGGACCTTCCTTCCAGGAAAGTGTTCTTAGGACTGCACTGTCATTGTGGGAAACGGTGCAATGCCTTTATGTCAGTAACACCATCTGCAAGTTGCATTCATGGGCATTTCACTGTCAGCTGTGCATAGCAGGGAACCATGCAGAGGGGCAGCTTCCCTGGGCGACTGTCATGCAGATTCCAGATGGGTGTTTGTGTTAGTTGGCAGCAGCTAAATAAAACAGGAGGCCGGCGGCACCTTAAAGACCAGCCCACCTTATTTAGTCGAGTTTACGCTGCAGTGAATCTCTTCGTCTTTAACACGTCGCTGTCACCTAAGGCTGCCATGGGATGGAATGAGACCCATTTCCCACAGCCGCTGCTCGGCGCTCGCTCCTCTCTTTGCCCGGACGGTACGTGTCAATTTCCCACTCAAAGCCGCACGGCTGCATTTTGACCCACGGCTTTGCCCGATTTCCCCCGTGGTTTCGTGATCCTGTTCTTTGAGGAGTACAAAACCACGGGCAAAATCGGGCAAAGCCGCAGGTCAAAATGCGGCTGCGCAGCTTCGAGTGGGAAATTGACATGTACCATCAGGACAAAGAGAGGAGCGAGCGCAGAGCAGCGGCTGTGGGAAATTGGTCTGTGTGGGTTGCTCTTCTTGTCTCCCTCCTCCCTTTCCCCCTTTCCCCCTTCCCCCTTCGGCTGCATGCTGTTATCTGTCCAGTGTCCTTGAAGGTTTTACTCTGCCTGCTCCTAGTTTCCCGCTGGGAATGTAACTCTTGCTTTTTGCCCGCGTCTTCAGGTGCTTGCCTATTGGTTTTACTGTATCAGGGGGTCATGTATGAAGGGGGTATATCTGAAGGTTCAAATCATTAGCCCGCCACTCCTGACGCAAGTGTTCATGGTGTCATGAGTACTAGCTCTCAATAAACTGAAACTTCTGAAGGAACGTTGTTGAGTGTCTTGACCGGGAAGCCTGACAGTCACTAGACACCGTTTTATTTCTTACATAGAAGTGGTTTCCAGGTAAGAAATGCGTAATGCCAAAGAGATGAACCAGAACTCAACTGCCATCTGCTGAAAGGGCAAAAATGTGTGGGTGTAAAGTGCCATCAAGTTACAGCTGACTTATATACCAAGTCCAGCAACAGCTTTCAAGGCAAGTGAAAGTTTGCCATTGCCTTTCTCTGCAGTCTTCCTTGGCGGTCTGGTTTCACTTCCAAGTACCGACCCAGCTTAGCTTCCCAGATCTGATGAGATTGAGCTATACCATACCGCCTTCTCTCCTACAAAAGTGTGAGGCAGAAACACACACACAAGGACGTGCTTATCTAACTTTCCTTATTCTGTTTCAGCTCCAACAGAGCAGCTGGGAAAGTCTTTACAACAAATTTAGAGTCCAGTGGTACCTTTAAGGGTGCCCGGGAGTCGGTTTCCTTTCCAAACAATGCAGGTAGCCTGTTCTCTCATCCAGGCGAGGATACCCAGTCCTAGGCTAATAAAGCACACACTGACAAAATGCACACTCTGCTCACTTCCTTGAGGGACGGGATTTTTCTTGGTGGCCCGGCCCCCTAACTTCTGACACTGTGCACTCAATGGACGGATCCCACCCTGCAGACTTCGCTGCACCGGCAGTTTCCAGGGCGCCCCATCTGGGGCAGGGGCTCTCCCGAGGCAACATCCCTGCTGCTGCCTGCCCTTAGCTCCTTCTTTCTTCGCAGCCCTGCCGGCTTCTTACCTCGCCCTCGGGGCGCTGGGGATGTAATCGTACTTCCAGTGGACGTATTTTAAGTAGCAGCAATAAAGGCCAAAGGCCAGGCAGGCCACGGCGAGCAGGAGGCGCAACAGCAAGCCCCAGGCCGCCTCCGGCGCGTCCATCGCGTCCAGGGACCAGCAGGCTCGCCCGCTCCCCCTCCTGCAGTAGCAGCAGCCAGACCGCCCCTTCTCCGCCTCGGAATTGCGTAACGCGTAAACGGAGTTCGCTCGGTGGCTGGGCGGAGCCAAGCTACGGAGAGGCGGGGAGGCTTAAAGAGGCCCCGCGGGGAATCGCGACAGCGGCCAGAAAGCCGGGCAGCGGGGCCGTCTAACCCAGTGCGACAGCAACTCCTCGGGAGGGGGGCGCAATCCCGCCGCCGTTTATGGAGCGCATCAGTTTCCTTCTACGTAACCGTGTGGTCTGGTGCGAAGAATGGTCGATGCCGCCGCCCTCCGCAGCAACTTCGGCAGCAGCTAGATAGATTCTGGTGGGCGGTAGGGAGCCGTGTAGGGCTCTGAAGCAGCAGAACTTCTTCAGAGACGCTGGGGAGAAGCGATGATGCTCACGAAGGGTCATACCCAGAATAATTAAGCTTTGCTGGTCTTAAAGGGGCCACTGCTGGACTCGAACTTTCGTCTTCGGCAGCAGCTGCGAGCCCGGGCCGGCGGCCTCCGAGCACCCGCGCTGACAAGTGGGGAGCAGTGTTCCCTCTAAGCAGTGGAGTCTTGTGAGCAAAAATTCTACTTTGTGAGCTGCTGGCATTAAAGCTGTGCGTGCGCAATTTGGCTGCTGCATAAATCAGTTTGCTCCGGAGCCATCCTTCCTGAGCGGAGACAAAAATGTGTGAGCCAGAAGCTAAAAAACTGAGCTAGTTCACACTAACTCAGCTTAGAGGGAACATTGGACTCGGGACGCCGGCGGGGTGACCGATCCCCAGGCGAGGAAGACGCTCACGAGTCACCAACGAGCCGGACGACCTGTTCCTTCCCACCCGGGCAGAGCTAGGGCAGAGCCTACGGAGGAGGGGAGCCCGGAGCGCGTCTGCGCCCAGTGCCAGTGGAGGAGTTTTGCGGGGATGCTGTGAACCACCACAAAGACAAATCAGTGGGTTGGTTCTAGAAAGGGTTGCCAGCTCTGGGTTGAGAAAGACCTGGAGATTTGGGGGCAGGAGCCTGGACAGGGAGGGAATTGGGGAGGGGAGGAACTTCAACAGGGTATAATGCTGTAGAGTCCGCCCACCAAAGCAACCATTTTCTCCAGGGGAAATGAATTTGGCTATCGGGAGATCAACTGTAATAGCAAGAGATCTCCAGGTGCCACCTGGAAGTTGGTTCAGCATAGGAAAAGGAGTACGACAAGGATGTATATTGTCACCTTGCTTATTTAATATATATGCAGAGTACATCATGTGAAATGCTGGCCTGGATGAATCACCAGCGGAAATTAAGATCGCTGGGGAAAAGATCAACAACCTCAGATATGCAGACGATACCACTCTAATGGCAGAAGGCACAAAAGTGGGCTTGAAGCTCAACATCAAAAAAACTAAGATCATGGCATCCGGCCCCATCACTCCTTGGCAAATAGAAGGGGAAGTCGTGGAAGTAGTGACAGACTTCATGTTCCTGGGATCCCAGATCACCGCAGACTGTGACTACAGCCATGAAATTAAAAGACGCCTGCTCCTTGGGAGGAAAGCGATGGCGAACCTAAACAGCATGATAAAAAGTAGAGACATTACCCTGCCAACAAAAGTCCGCATGGTCAAAGCAAGGGTATTCCCAGTAGTCATGTATGGCTGCGAGAGTTGGACTATAAGGAAGGCCGAGCGCCGAAGAATAGATTCTTTTGAACTATGGTGCTGGAGAAGACTCTTGAGAGTCCCTTGGACTGCAAGAAGATCAAATCAGTCAATCCTAAAAGAAATCAACCCTGACTGTTCCCTGGAAGGCCAGATAATGAAACTGAAGCTCAAATACTTTGGCCACCAAATGAGAAGGGAGCACTCACTGGAGAAGACCCTGATGCTGGGAAAGACTGAAGGTCAAAGAAGACGGGGACGGCAACTGATGAGATGGTTGAACAGTGTCATTGATGCAAAGAACATGAAATTGAGCCAACTTCAGAGGACGGCGGAAGACAGGAGGGCCTGGCGGGAGCTGGTCCATGGGGTCGCGAAGAGTCGGACTCGACTGTGCGACTGAACAACAACAACAAAAAATCTGGAGATCAACTGTAATAGCAAGAGATCTTCAGGTGCCACCTGGAAGTTGGCAACCCTAGTTCTAGACCAAATCAAGCCTGAACTCTCCCGGCCAGCTAAAATGGCCAGAGACTATCCTTCTCTGGTCCCATTATGAGAAGAGTCACTGGAAGAGACAATACTAGGGAAAGTCCAAGGCAGCAGGAAAAGAGGAAGACCCACCAGTGTGAGATGGAGCAACTCTATCAAGGAAGCCACGACTGATGCTCAGTTTGCGAGATCTGAGAAAGGCTGCTAATAATAGGACATTTTGGGAAATGTTAATTCATAAGGTCACCATAAGTTGGAAACAACTGGATGCCACTTAACACACACACACACAACCCCTCTTAATTTACCTTGTTGCTGGTCTTATGGGTGGACGAACTGCCTCCTTAGGTTCCTCATTTATTTTATTAGATTTTTAACCTGCCCTTCCTTGTGTAGCAAGGTTCAGAGCAGGGTACAACAAATTAAAACAATAGTCAGATTATTAAAAACAATTGCATACAATGAAAATCTAAGCTAAACTCAGATGGCGCTATTAGGCACTGACCACACAGTATCCAGGTGTGGTTGTGCAGCTGTGTAGTTTATAAAGCTAGCACACAGTGTAATGTGCAACAAGATTGGGGGGGAACGAGAGCTGGGGGAAGCCAGACTAGATGGAAGGCCTTGCTGCTTCAACTGTATGCCTGGCAGAATATTTTGGTTTTACAGGCCCTGCGGAGCTGAATCAGATCTCAGATCTTGTCTGCAAGGGCGTTCCACGAGGCCGGGGCCAGAGCTGAGAACACTCTGGCCCAGGTTGAGGCAAGATTAATGTTTTGGGGGCTGGGGACCACCAGACGGGTTGTTGTTTGTGGAGCGCAGTGCCAGTAGAGAGCCCGTTTGGTGTAGTGGTTAAGTGCGCGGACTCTAATCTTGGAGAACCGGGTTTGATTCCCCACTCCTCCACTTGCACCTGGCTCGATGACCTTGGGCAAGCCATAGCTCTGACAAGAGCTGTTCTTGAAAAAGAGCAATTTCTGTCAAGAGCTCTCTCAGCCCCACCTACCTCACAGGGTGTCTCTTGTGGGGAGGGGAAGGGAAAGGAGTTTGTAAGCCGCTCTGAGACACCTTTGGGTAGTGAAAGGCGGGGTATAAATCCAATCTCTTCTTCTTCTTCTTCGTCTTCTCCTCTGGGGGACGTACCAGGAGAGCTGGTCCCATAGATATATTGGTGCCAGACCTTGTACGGCTTTGAAAACTCCTCATTGTCAATGCCTTATTTTTAACAGAATTTCTTTTAAGCTTAAACACTAATAATTTAATAGCAACAGAAATGTTGATGAATGATTTAGTGACCAATAACCAATAAGAACTTTATGGGCTCAGCCTTCCACTGTGGAGACTGCTGTAAACATATACAGAATGTCACGATCTGGATTCATAAATGTCTATGTTTCCACACACTTGTGTGTGCAACAGGGTTTACTGAATTTGTTTTGGTACTATGGTCCCAATATGGCAGACAGAGCTGTGTTTCAACAACACAAGATTCTGCCGAATTGTTGTGGGTCTTTTCAAGCCTTTGTTAGCCCCTTCCTGTGTAGCCATTATTTGAGTCCAGTAGCATCTTAGAGAAGAGACCAACAAGATTTTTGGGGTACACGCTTTCTTATTTATAATAATTTTAGATAGTGAAATAATAATATAGAGAGGATACAAAAGGTAAAAAGGGATTATAGAACAAGGTATATATATCAAAAGATTTTTTCCTATAGTATACAATGCTCCTTACTTCAAATTTTTAAAATTTCAAACATCGTAACTGATCTGTTTTGCAAACATAATATTAATTTCACCATTACTACATATTCTATTTTACATATTTCATCATTTATTTTAAAAGTATAACTTTTAATATACTGAATTATAAAAAGAAGTCTATTATACATACAGTAAAAGATAAAATATATTTTTGTTCAGAATCAGCTTCCTTATGCATTTATATTCAAAACTTATTATCATTTTGCTTCTACATTGTGATACAATTATATACATTTTTACCTGTTCCTCATTCTAAATTTGCCTCCTGTTTGCATAATGATCACTCCATCTCTCTTCAAATTTCGAAATTGATCTGCTTCTCAGAGATAATGAGCTTTCAAGAGTCAGAGCGAGAGCGCCCTTTGTCAGATACATGACGAAGGGGGCTTTCGACTCTCCAAGGCTCACACCTTGAAAACCTTGTTGGTCTCTAGAGTAATACTGGACTCAAATCTAGTGGTTCTATTGACAGACCGACAAGGTTACCCTCCAAAACAGTTTAGTCCTCTTAGTGTTTTAATTCATACATCAGACAATATAAATCCTTGCCCAAACTTCACTCTATGAGTCCTGATTCTTCTATTAAATTAATTGTAGCCTTTCCCAGTAGCAAACCCAAACTGAAGCCCTCCATCAATATGTTGCTTGGTCTTCAAAAGCCAGAGAGTTGCATAGGTTCAGTCTGCACACCACAGCATCCAGTGGCTTCAGTGTTCCCACATCCAAAATCTTAAAGCTCTGTGGTGGGACCAGCTGGAATTCAAACCTCTGCAGAAATTTGGCCATTATCACTTTAGCCTCCATCTGTAATAATAATAATAACAATAATAATATGGTGAGAGCTTAACCAAAGTAGTTTTCATACAGAAGCACGGAGACATTTCTATTTATTCATAATATGGGCAAAATGTAGGTTTATTTATTTTTTTCCACCACTGTATCTCCTTTTACTGAAGGCGGGAGGGAGTGGTGGACCGTTCTGGCAAGAACAGCAGAAAGAGAGATGAAGCAGCTGTCTTTCAAAATGCCTTGGCCTTTTAAAAGGTCAGGGATGGCAGCAAAGCAGACAAGAGGAAGGATGACCTATCTAGCCTTGCTAGCTCTACTGCCCCCTCTGAAGCACGAGCACGCTCTGTACAAGCGAACATCGCACAGTCCTCCCCTTCCAGCAATGGTGACCATCTTACCTGTGCAAATGTCTGCCCAATGCAGGAACGAGGCCCCAAGGAAAATGGGAAATAGGAATAGTAGGGCCTGAAAAATAAAAGGCAAAAGATTTATACGATCTGAAGAGAAACCAGAGAGCACTATGAGGTCAATAACTAGGTTAAATAACAATAGAAATGGATTTCCCGTAATTTGTATCTATGTATGTTTGCCTTGTATGTCTTATATATGACATTAAAAATACTTAAGAAAAATAAATTCAACACAGACATCAGTCATTTCAATGGTCTTACTAATTTAAACAAGCTTTGCTTTTTTCACATTTCAGACAGGTCACTCACTTGGGCTGTTCTTTACCGAATCGGTCAGGATCGAAGATCAGTGGATCCTTGAAAAACCTTTCCATGCGTCCCATAACATACGTGTTGAACTGCCAAGAGAAGAGAGCTGTTTGCATTCGTAAGTGTGCAGTAAGACACAGCAACAACCAGCACCCACAGGAACAGGTAAACAGGTAAATAATATTTACATTGCAACTTAGAAGGGTGTAATTCTGTTTAGGATTGTACTGTCAATTGCATTGTTGTGAATGAAAATTTGATCTCTCCACAGTCTCGCTGAACAAATCCTGTCCAGACATTTAATTGGTGGAAGCACTTCTGGAAGTTATGATCACAAGGTCCAAGTGAAAACTGCTTTGATTTGAAGAGCGGCAACTTTGTAAGTCAAGGGCCCAAGCAGCACAGAGCTGGTCTATGGCTGAACACAGAATTGCAGCTTCTGTTCAGTGACGGAATAAGTATGATGTGGTGAGAGGTGTGCTGTGGTGGTGGAAACTGCAGTCAAATCACAGCTGACTAATGGCAACCCCTGTAGGATTTCAAGGTAAGAGATGTTCAGAGGTGGTATGCCTTTGTTTGCCTCTGCAACATGACCCTGGTATTCCTTGGAGGTCTCCTATCCAAATACTAGCCAGGGCCAGCCCTGCTTAGCTTCCCATATCTGACAAGATCAGAGCCAGTTTGGTGTAGTGGTTAAGTGCGCAGACTCTAATCTGGGAGAACTAGGTTTGATTCCCCACTCCTCCACATGCAGCTGCTGGTGTGACCTTGGCCAAACCACAGTTCTCTCAGAGCTGTTGTGGAAAGCGCAGTTCTCAAAAGGACTCTCTCAGTCCCACCTACCTCACAGGGTGTCTGTTGTGGGGAGGGGAAGAGAAAGGGACTGTAAGCCACTCTGAGACTCCAAGTGAAAGGTGGGGTATAAATCCAGTCTCTTCTTCTTCTCCCCTTGGCTATCTAGGTCAGGGCTGAGATGCATACTACAAAGAATCAAAAAGTAGCCGCCCCCCCCCACCCCCGAGTTAAGTACATTGGCTATGATTTGGGAAATACCTAGAGATTTGGGGGGGAGAGCCTGAGGAGGGTGCGGTTTGGGGAGGGGCCTCAACAGGGTAAATGCCATCGATCTGACCATTCCAAAGTGACCTTTTCCAGGTGAATTGATCTCTGTTGCCTGGAGATCAGTTGTAATCCCAAGATGTTTCCGGCCACTGCCTAGAGGTTGGCACCCTTACACATTGGGCCTGGGCTTTTGCCATTCCTAAAAGTGCATCTGAAAAGTCAGGCCCAAACAGTTTTTCCAGTAAGAGGCTGTAGTGCAAACGTGCAAGCATCTCCAGGTGGCTTGGAAACGGTGCTGTCAGGTGGCCCCTGTTCTGGCCCTTGGAAAGTAATCATTAATTGCCCTGGGTTCATTCAGCTTACATTCGTGAGTCAGGCTATGTTTGGTCGATCATTAAGCCTTGCAAGCTTGATTCAGCTGGCTAAGCTCCTATAAAAGTGGGTGGAGGAAGGCCCAGAGAGCTTCACTGTACGCTAGGACACTGAGGTTATAGTGGGACAAGGCCCTGGTTATGGCTATTCAGAGTGCGCAGCAACAGAAGGGATGTAAGATGATGCCTGTGCAGTTGGATTGTCTTTGGTTGCTTTTAATTAAAAAAAACCTCTTGCATTTGACAATATCTTGCCTCTGAGAGCTTACTGACCTTCCAGATTCATAAAACACCCCCTGCCTCTGGCAGGACAGAGGCATGGACCCCCAAGCTGCTGTACCCTTGCCTCCTCCACTAACACTAGTGAAGGAGAATATAATAGTAATTGCAGAGGCTCTAGAAGTTTAAACAAATAATAAGTGCATGATGGTGGGCTCATAATCTTGGCAATGGAAAAAAGACAGAAAATTCTGCACCAAGATTGCTTTATGTTCCGCAACCAAGACGGAATTCTACAACCAGCATAAATTCAAAATTAAGTAAACATTCAAGTTCTCTCTTAGTTTTGTGTCATTTATTCTGCCAGTCACATGGACTTTTGGCATTTAAAAAAAAAATCAATAAAGCATTAATTTGGAGAAGGCTTCATGACTGCTGCAAGGGAAGGCTTGCCAATTTCCAGGTGGGGCCTGCAGTCTTCCTGGAATTACGGCTGATCTCCAGACCCTGGAGGAAACTACTGACCTCCCTCCCCTCCCTAGGCTCCACTTCCAAATCTCCAAGCTGGGGTTGGCAACCCTACACAAGGGCCATCCCATTTGTACCATCAGCTGGAGCGACAGGGAAGGAGATGGGCCATTTTGTCAGTATTCTGTACAGCTGTCTTCTCCTAGAAATGGGAAGAGCCCTTTGCTCCTAAGTAAGATTCTCCAAGGAAGCTTATCAGCAATGTTCCCTCTGAGCTGTCGACTGCTGTGAGCAAAAGTTCTACTTTGTGAGCCCCAAAATCTACCGGCATAAAAATTGTGAGCGAGCCTAAAAAATTTTTTTTAAATTTAAAATTTCAGTTTGGAAATGGAAAGAAAGAAAGGAATAGAAAGGGAGAGAAAGAAATGGATTGAAAGGGAAAGAAAGAAAGGGGGAAATCGATAGAAAGAAAGGGAGAGAAATAAATAGAAAGAAAGAAATAGAAAGAAGGAGGGAAGGAAAGAAAGAAATGGGAAAAAGGGAGGGAGGGAAACAAACAGAAATGGAAAGAAAGGGGAGAAAGGGAAAAAAGGAAAGAAAGAAATAGGAAAGGGAAAGAAATGAAAAGAAAGAAATAGAAATAGAAAGGGAAAAAAAGCCATGAAATTGTAGAAAGCAGGCTTGGAGAAGGCAAGCATTTAAAGGACATTCCTTTAAGTGCCTGCCTTCTCCAAACTTACCCCTCGCCCCCTGCACTGAGATGAAAATCTGGGCACTGGGGGTCAGAAATCGGTGCACTAGCGCAGGCTAGCATGCCTTGGGGGGGGGGACCCTGACCACAAGTAACATATTCAGATCCACAGTAGTCCCACAACTCTGATTACGTATACCTGCCAGCTACCTAGGCTTATAGATAATCATAGACAGCAGCCCTTTCAGCAGACTCACCATCAGGGTTGTGTTTGCTGGAATTTTGACCCCTTCAATTACTTTTTCAGTTCCTGTCCAGCGTACAGTGGATGGAGCCGGTGGGTACAATCGTAGGGATTCTTTGAGAACCTTAGATAGTGAAGATCATTTTAACTTAGTTTAAGCAGAGAGGCAGTGCTGTGCTTTAATATCTCACATATGCGATGGAGAACACAGTCCTGAGATGATCAAACAAATGAAGCACAGACTGATAGAACAAAGCGCTTGAGCGTATCAAAGTATATTATAACATACAACAATATTAAAGCAGATACTAATGCACAAAAGAATGGTAAGTTTCAGGTGAAGGTGAACTTCTATCAAAATGCAAGTGAATCCTGACGAAAACCTCCGGAATGACTCTTCATTTCGTCACGAAACGAAGAGTCATTCCGGAGGTTTTCGTCAGGATTCACTTGCATTTTGATAGAAGTTCACCTTCACCTGAAACTTACCATTCTTTTGTGCATTAGTATCTGCTTTAATATTGTTGTATGTTATAATATACTTTGATACACTCAAGCGCTTTGTTCTATCAGTCTGTGCTTTGTTTGTGCTTTAATATCTAGCATAAGAGATGGACCTGCATCCAGAATGTCATGGTTAAAACTTTAGGCCAGTTTTATAGACCAGTTTTTAGTAAACACCAAAGCCTTAATTTCCCAGCAGTGACTTTTCACATCTGGTTGCTGCCAGCTGTGCCTCATCTGCATTTTTATTTTGGCATGATGGTTTCAAAATATCTGATTCAGCCTGTGATTTCCCTATACATAACAATGCAGAAGGAGTACCAAATGCCCTGGTTCTTTCAAAACTGTAAAACAGAAGTCGGAAGGAAGTTCATGGGATTCATGGGGTTGTTCAGGCCTGGAGGGAGAAGGGATAGAAGGGAGATTGAGGGGCAAAACTGAGCTTTATAAAATTATGCATGTGGTGGGAAAAGGGGATAGAGAGAATTTCTTTTCCTCCCTCTCCCATAATACTAGAACTTGTGGGCACCCAGCAGAGTTGATGGGCAATAGATTTAGGACAAACAAAAGAAAATACTTCTTTACTCAACAAGCAATTAAATTGTGTCATTTGCTGCCAGTGGGAATAGTGATGTTCATGAGCATAAAGGACTTTAAAAACGGGTTTAGAAAGACTGAGGACAGGCTGATCAATGGCTAGTACTCAGGGTGACCAAAAGGAACCTCCATATTAAAAGGAGTCAAGATCAAGGGGAAGCACTTAGCCTCTGTCCTGTTGACTGGCCACCCAAGGCAAGTGGTTGGTCACTGGGTGAAATGAAAAGCTGGGCTAGATAGGCCACTGGTCTGATTCAGCAGGCTCTACTTATGTTCTTATGACCAGCTGTGATATACTAAGGTCATAGACTGGCAGAACAAGCAGAATTAGACCAATGTCACACTCAACAAATGTTTAAGTCCAGCATTTTGAGCAACACAAAAATCACTGTTCACTCAACCACCAGAAGTCCTTAGGAGGACTGCCACATGGGGATCCTAGAACTTCTCCCTCACAGTTCTGTATACAGCTGAAGAGCTCTGAGAGACCCTTTCTTTAAGAACTATGATAAGCATCATGCTTCAGTTCTCATCTGGAAACCTGTTTTGTTATCCTTTCAAGTGGTGCTAGCAAAGTGGATTCAGAGCAGCTCCGAAGCACCTGTGACCTCATTTGTCAGCTGTGTACCTGTGATAAATATTGGAGGTTGCCAAGATCTTCATAGTTAATGTCCCTCTTTGCACCAATGACCTCATCTACTTCAGCCTGAAGTCTAAGAAGAAGAGACAGGAGGGTAGTTCATTACATATGTACGTGTTGTCAAGTCACAGCTGACTTATGGTAAACCCAGCAAGGGGCTTTCAAGGCAAGTGAAAAGCAGAGATGAGCTTGCATTGCCTTCCTCTGCAGAGCCTTCCTTAGTGGTCTTCTGCCACTGCCATTTACTAAAGTCCTAGAGCTGGGAGCTGCCACCATGCCACACTACAGACCCAAGATGCTGACAGGTGCAGTTACAAGCAGCTGGCAGCACCTGTGTTGACTGCCCTGGTGACTGGACAGTGGCCTGTTGTGGCCACGGGGGGGGGGGATGTTCAAGGTTCAAGAGGAAGCCTTTGTAAGGTCTTTGGGTCTCATATGAAGGGAGGGGGGGTTGGGCTAGGGAAGCCCATCCTGGATAATTTAAGCCCCAGGCCAAGGAGGAGGTGGCTGAGGGTGCTTGTTGGTCATAGCGTGTGGGGTGGGGGGGGGGGGGGGGGGATGTTCAAGGTTCAAGAGGAAGCCTTTGTAAGGTCTTTGGGTCTCATATGAAGGGAGGGGGGGTTGGGCTAGGGAAGCCCATCCTGGATAATTTAAGCCCCAGGCCAAGGAGGAGGTGGCTGAGGGTGCTTGTTGGTCATATAATCAGAGGAGCAATCCTGGAGGGCAGGAGGAGGACCTGAGTGACTCAAGCGCCCCTCCCCTCCCAACCTGAGACCTAAGATGGAGGCGCTTGAGCCAAACATTTCTTTTGCTCCCAATTTGTTGCCAGTGGCTACAGGCTCCAACTCAACTATGCAACTGTATCTTCCTCACATTCCAAATAACTGTATCCATTATCTTCTGGATTCAAACACTACATTTGTTGACATAAACAAGTACCCAAAGATGGTCAGGACTGTTTATGCGTACAAAGTGTTGCGTGAACTGGAGCCACAAACTTTGCAAAGACTGAAACATTTGGCAAACTACGATAACTAAAACGTTAGAAAAAGAATGAAACACATCTGAGTCAGTGGGCAGCCCATGTTAACCTACTTTGCCACTATTTCAGGTTGCCGTCCCAGCTCCATGATGGTGAAAGACAACAGATTGGCAGTGGTTTCGTGACCTGCAGGATGGAGAATCTAGTTAGGGATGGGGGAGATGGTAACAAAACAAGAAATTGGACTTACCCATGTCTTCCAGGCAAGAAGTCTAGCTTAAAACGCTTCTACTGTAGTGGCAGAAATCCCCCCCCTTCCCACCCTGATTCCATAGTCCAAGAGGCCTCGCAGCGTATGGATTGCAACTTTATTTATTTATTATTTACATTTCTATCCCGCCCTCCCCGAAGGCTCAGGGTGGCTAACAAGGCATATCGCCAAATAAAACAATAAAATAATACAAAATATTAAAAGTAATAAACAGTTATGGTGCTCTCTTTGTCCACCTGATAAAAATGTGACCTCCATTACTGACAGGCTAATATTGGAAAATAACAGTATGACCAGGGGCCCAGAGGACTTGCTTCCCTCATTTTTCCACAGGGTGGGGCATGCCCCTACCAACCCCCCAGTTGAAGACCTAAGAAATGATCCCTTTAGGCAACACCTTGCTTGGGATTGGCTCAGACTGCCAAGGTCCCTGGCTTTTCACAGCCTGAGTATGCGGCCTCCCATGACAGCATCCAGGGAGACTGCTGTACCCCAGAGGTACCCTTTAAGAGCTTGACAGCACCTGTGTGGGTGAGAGCTACATTGCCCTTGTCACAAACACTTGCATGATTTGGTAATTCGTGAATGCATATGTTTGGCACATGCACACTACATCTTTACATGGGAATCTGTGGTCTGATTCTATATCTTCATGGGTTCAAATAGAAATCTGGACAAAGTAACCAAAAAAAAATCCCCAATGACTTGGGGCAACTTTGGGAGTGGCTTAACTGAATACAGTGCAAGGTTGATAAGAATAAAAAAGGACACTCACAAGAAAATATAATCACAACACATCCAATGAAGCTGATGTGCAGTAGATTCAGGATGGACAAAAAGAAATACTTCTTTACACCGAGAGTGATTAAAATGTGAAATTCTCTGCCAGAGAATGGAGTGATGACCATAGGCATAGACAGCTTTAAAAGGGGATTAGACAGATTCATGGAGGATAGGTCTATCAGTGGCTACTAGCCATGGTGTCTGAGGAGAACCTCCATGTTTAAAGCCAGTCAGCCTCTGAATCCCAGAGCCAGGAGGCAACACCAGGGGAAGTCCTTGGCCTCCATGCCCTGTTGCTGGCCCTCCAGAGGAACTGGTTGACCACTGTATGAGACAGGATGCTGGACTAGATGGACCACTGGGCTGATCCAGCAGGGCTCTTGTTATGTTCTTAATACTACCCTATAGTTTGTGTCATATCGCCTTGAAGAGGAGCAAGGGTGTAGACTTTCCAATTTCCCAGGGGGGGGGGCTGGGCCAGAGGCATTGCTTTGCTAGGAGCAAGGGTGGCTCTCGGGGGAGGCTGAGCACCTTCCTGAAAATTTCGGCGGCTGCCCCCACGAAGATTACGCCTATGAAGAGGAGCCAGTTTCTCCTTGAATAGGGTTTTTTTCTCCAACTGCCACCAGTGTTCTGTGGCAACAGAATGTTCACTGACACAGCACCTATTCATGACAAGCTGAGAACAGGGACACTGCACAAGGCTTTCATTAGTGAACTGGAGAAACACAGTGTGTGCATTAATGAGCATGCACATATGATGGCTACATATAGGCCCAATGCTGATATAATGCTGGTTTGCAAAACCAAGAGATAGCCAGCCTGATGAAAGCATGGCTTTCTCCTACTCCCCTCCCTTCCCAACCTTAGTCTTCCATCATACAAGGGCTGCAGCCATCATTGGTGCAAACCACAGTCCTTCATAATAATGGTTATGCCAATTCACTGCAAATGACAGTTTCAGTTACGAGGGAACCATGATTTGGATAGCAGAGACAGAGAATGTGAGGCTGGCTTCCAAACTGGAAATGATTTGCTGGCAGTCACATCTGCACTGAAACATGCACACATGGGTCAACGACCTCTTGCACAACTGAAAAATGTCTCGAAGAACTGAAAGTGTACTCAGCATTTAAAGCACTGAGTGTAGTTTGTCAAGGTCAGATCAGCCAGTGCAAATACCACAGTCTGAATGCCCATGAAGATCAGAATAGACATTTGCATTCCCACGGGCTGGACCCTCGGAAGCCTGCTTCTAACATGCGAAGATCACCTTTGGTAGATCAGCGTCTTTATGTGTTAAAAGGAGAACAGATCTACAAACCTGCAAAGAAGAAGGTGACAAAGTTGTCCAGCATGCTTTCATCATCGCAATCCCCCTCCTGTGCTGTCCAGGCAGGAAACAAAGGGCAAAGGTTGACATTCTGCTTCAAACGTACAAGAGGGCAAAAATACAATATGGCCCTGGAGACCAGACATCACTAGACAAGTAAACACCTACAGAACAGAAAGAACTAAAGATATTCCAAACGCGGACAGAAAACAATCTCACTTATTAAGGTTCCAAGATGCTTCTGGGCATCTTTACTTGGAAGTATGAAACATTAAGATCAAAAGATCAAGGTGGGTAGCCCTGTTTGTCTGTAGCAGGAGAAAAGAGCAAAAGCCCAGTAGCACTTTAAAGATTAACAACATTTCTGGAAGTCACTGCTCACTTTAGACATCTCACGAAAGAAGAAGAAGGAGAAAGGAAGAAGGGAGAAGGAGAAGAGGAAAAGGAGGAGGAGGAGATTGGATTTATACCCCGCCATTCACTTGGAGTCTCAGAGGGGCTTACAAACTCCTTTCCCTTCCCCTCCCCACAACAGACACCCTGTGAGGTGGGTGGGGCTGAGAGAACTCTGACACAAACTGCTCTTTCAGGAACAGCTGTGCCAGAGCTTGTGACTGACCCAAGGTCACATCAGCAGGTGCAAGTGGAGGAGTGGGGAATCAAACCCAGTTCTCCCAGATTAGAGTCCTCACACCTAACCACTACACCAAACTGGCTCACAAATGTTAGTCTTGAAGGTGCTACTGGACTGTTTCATTAAGATCAATAATACATAAGTACTTTTAGATTTATGCTAATGATGTTATTTATTATTTCTATTTTATCTTCTTTGTGATTGACTGTAATGGCTATATGCACTTAACACCAGGGGTCATTTCGTAGAAAAAGAGCTAGGGGAACTCATTAGCATAACTCATTAGCATATGCCACACCCCCTGACATCAGGGGCCCGGCGGTGGACCTGCAAGGCCGGCGGGAGTGCGAGGAAACCCCCGCCAAGGCCCTCCCTGGCTCCAGGCAGGCAGTGGTGGGGAGATGCGGGGAGGAAGCAACTTACCCTCCCTCTTCTCCTGCCTCCTCCTGGCTGAATGAGGGCCGGAAGTGGGGCGGCTGGAAGCAGGGGGCGGGGCTTCATCGTGTGCCCCGCCCCCCGCACCTCACCCGGGGGAACTGCGTTCCCCCGCGATCCCCCCCGAAATGACCTCTGCTTAACACTATTGTATTGTATTAAGATCAGTGGAGCTTAGTCCCTTGTAAGTGTGCCTAGACCTATAGCCTTTAAGAAGGCCCAAAATCTGCTGCTTCAGGTGGCCACATGACACTGCCTAATGGCACCGTAAATCTTGCTCATCTATGGACCTCTGAGAATCTTCTTCAGCCCCATTTTGGATTCTGGAATTTCACAAAGTGCAGTCCGCAACACTGTCTGACTTATTTCCCTCACCCTAATTTTTCGGGGTGGGGGGGAAGTCCAGTGGAACACTGACTCAGACAGAACATCTAAAACAGCTCTGATGTCTTTCTCCAAACTTTTTTTCTATGCCTCCAAGTAAGAACAGCCCATGGCTTCCTTAAGTATTGTGTCTGATTGGAAACCTACTCCGTAGAGTCAAGATTATCCTAATTTACCATCCCCTCATTTGTGCAGAGAGGAAAGCAACCTCAGCAAGAGCCAGTTTGGTGGAGTGGTTAAGTGTGCGGACTCTAATCTGGAAGAACCGGGTTTGATTCCCCACTCCTCCACTTGCACCTGCTGATGTGACCTTGGGTCAGTCACAAGCTCTGGCACAGCTGTCCTTGAAAAAGAGCCATTTGTGTCAGAGTTCTCTCAGCCCCACCCACCTCACAAGGTGTCTGTTGTGGGGAGGGGAAGGGAAAGGAGTTTGTAAGCCGCTCTGAGACTCCAAGTGAAGGGCGGGGTATAAATCCAATCTCTCCTCTTCTTCTTCTTCAGCTGTTGCTAACCACCAGAATTTCCTCTAATTCCTCCCCACCTTCTCATGTTATCCTCTATAAAGTACTGGGTTCGCAGCATGGAGACTCAGACTACGACGTGCTCTCAGACACGTTTACTGTACTTCACACACTAGAATAGAAAACCGGCCCCGCAAGGGCCAACTATATACACTCCACCTGGCATACCCACAGTCCCATTGGAGGGTTTGAATTTCCCGCCAGAGTCCTATTGGTGGACTCGTGGTGGTCTAGAATCCTAGGTCCCTTTTGTATTTAGGGACCAAGCTTCTTACTAGAGCCACGGACCCCTGGTGGCGATCCGCATACATAACATCCTCAGAGAAGACACAGAACAACCATTGGTTCCTTTCCACAGGGGCTCCCCTACCTGCAGTCTTCAAGATCTGAGTGAGAATATCCATAGGGATCTCCTCTTCGTTCTCGATGGCCTTGAGCCTCTGCTCGATACACTCCTTCCCAGTGCGGCGTAACAGCCTCAAGCAGTCCTGAATCTCTTTCACTATTTTCCTGTTCCATGGCATGTACTAAATAGATAATGGGGTGTTATCATGAACACAGCAGCATAAAATGAAACATGGAACGACATGGTATACGCCATATGCTTCCCATCAAGGCAGGGATAGACAGAAAGTAAATTGTAACCAACTGGTCAGTTTCCAGTGGACCAGTTAAGCACTTGCTGGTTACTGGGAATTCTGCGAAGAAGACTTGGCCTGATCAGGCAAAGTATTTCTTTACGTTCTTAAGCAAGAGTACCTAAACAAGACCACTGCATATAGATTAGTTACACCTTAGCTTTCAGGAGATCTTCAGTATGCATTCTTGGTTTTCTAGAACCTGCGGATTCTAATAAAGTAATGCAAGAGTTTTCAACATATCCCATGCTAAGAACTACGATCTAGCCAATGATGGCATCAGCATAATAAAGCTACCATTCCCAGGCTGCCTGAATAGTTTGCCTGAAAGGTCATTAAGATATTTAACAGATTTGTCAGCTTGCGTTGTGTTGGGGATCGTCCAGCCTGAACCTCTAAGGGATTCATGTAAGCAGCATCTCTCTTGTTCTCGAACCCTTTTATTTTGCTGCCCCTTCGACTCGCACCACATATATTCACCCTCGGCCTTATTTAACTTTCAGATTCTAAGACTGGTAGAAGAGCCTGCACTTAAAATTAAAATGAACTCATGAAGCTGCCTTATTCAGAATCAGACCGTCAGTCTATCAAGGTCAGCACTGTCTACTCAAGACTGGTGGCAGCTTTCCAGAGTCTTAGGTCAAGGTCTGTCACATCGCCTACCCTCTCATTCTTTTAATTGGAGATGCCAGGGATTGAACCTGAGTCCTTCAGCATGCAAGGCAGATGTTGTACTACTGAGCTACAGGCCCTTCACCGAGAAATGTTACATCTGTCACCCTGAAACAAGGTGTGGGACCATTGCCAGACCCATCTGAAGAATCCAGAGGCTTGCCACTCCTGTTGAGAGTGATGTGCTATATATAACTCTTGGCCAACATTATTGTCCAGGCTTTCAGTCTGGAGATCAGCAGGCATACTGAAATGGGCAGTCCACAGGCTGTCCTTGAAAAAGAGCCATCTGAGGGCCAAAGCAGGGATGAATGGCTCTCCCCGGTGTTTTTAAAGAGAACTGCCGGCTATATAGCACTTCATTTGGAGTCAGAGCCACAAAAACCTTTAACTTTTTACCACTTCTAATGGACACTTCCTTCATTTGCATGTCTTCTATTTCATGGCATGTAAGACTGGAGGAAGGGAGTCATACGGCAAACACAATTCATAAAAATAAAGATTGTACTGACCTGAAAAGCAGGGATGCGCATCTTGGCAATGCCTTCAAAGACCATTGTCACTGCACGTGGGAAAGGGGTTTGGTCATCGTGCAGGGTGTTCAGTTCTAAGCCAAAAGCCACCTGATAATATTGAGGAACGTTAGAAGATCGGACAAAGATCTGAATTCCTGGGGGTGAAGGCCAATATCTATATTCTGTTACTGGGCTTTGCTTTGTTTATACGTCTGTGCAAATTTTACACCAAGCAGAAAATATCATATCATACAGTTTCTTGTACAGGTCAGACAGGAGTTAGGCCTCATTATTAGGGTTTGTGCGCATTAAGTTGTGCCATCAAGTTGCTTCTGTCTTACGGCATCTCTATGAATTAATGTCCTCAAAAGCATCCTGTCATTAACAGCCATTCTCAGGTGTTGCAAACTGAGGGCTGCGGCTTCCTTTATACAGTCAATCCATCTCATGCCAGGTCTTCCTCTTTTCCTGCTGCCTTCAACTTTTCCTAGCTTTATGGTCTTTTCCAGCGATGAAAGCCACAATAAGCCAAGAAAGCATGAAAGCACAATAAGCTGGAAAAAGAACTTCACGTGGCTTCTAGTGATTAGGGTTTACAGCTTCTCTAGTTCCCCATCCTTTCAAAGTCACTCTCTCCTTACCATCCAATACTGTGGGGTTCCCAAGCTATTTGGTATGGTGACCCACAAGTCCCAATCTATTTGGCTTAGTAACTCACTTTAAAAAAAAAGAATGGAACGTGCACAAATCAATGAAAAGGTGCCACCGGACTCTAAATTTGCAAAAGCTGAGACCCACTTCCAAAGGCTTCGCAACTCATTTTTCAACCAGGACTCCCAGGTTGAGAAACGCTGATCTAATGCATAGCAGCTCATGGCACTAGGCAGGGGGCTCAAGTTCACAGAAAGGCCAGTATCCCTGGATAATTTTCTCACCGCTTCTCTCCTGTGCTCCAGGTGGCTGTTCCATCAGTCTCTCAGGAACACTTGGAGTTGCCTTATATTATATCAGACCACTGGTCTATCAGGGTCAGTACTATCTACTTGGACTGGCAGCAGCTCTACAGGTTCTCAGGCAGAGGTCTTTTGCATAACCTACTGCCTGATCTTTTTCACTGAGATGCCAGTGGGACAGACTGCATTTTTAAAAGCTTAGAAGTGTTGCATAAACAGATACAGGACTGTGAAGGGTTAATTCTTCACAGAAACAGAGAGCCTTGAGTGACAGGCTGCTTCAAGGAATCTGAGTGGTTATCATCAGCTAAGCAGAGAAAGACTTGAGAGCTGAATGCTGAGGAGTCAGCCTGAATTCAGCCCTGACTGAGAGCAGGTTAACACAGACGGAGTACTGGGGAGGTTGGCAAGGAAGAGAGGGTAGTTAGGCGAGGACTCCCATTTGGGCCAAGGAAAGGGGACAGATCTCCCAGTGAGAGAAGAATTTTCCTACCCAATCAAAACAGGGAGATAGCTCTGAAGAGTGGTGAGATCCCTGGTCTGGTATGGTTAGAAATTGCCTTTTGTATCTTGAAGAGTCAGGGGGGAAAACCTCAAGAAGAAGAGTACTGGTGTGTTTAGAGAAGGGGGTTAGGTACTGACTAGTCTTCTGGAAACCAAAAGAGTCAGGGGATACTCAAAGAAAGTGTACTGGAGTGTTTGGGAAAACACTGGAACAAAAGCCTCTCAACATAAAGATTTAAGTCACTGTGAATACCTTAAGAACCTCTTATTAGCCTGAAATGTAAGAACTAAAGTCTTGTGCATGTACTGGTTTTACCTCAGAGTTATTTATTCGAGTTACCACAGACTTTTTACCCCTAATTTCACCCGACCTTTCCCCTCTGTGCTGAATAAAATATTTTATTTTTGAACTTTAAAAAGCCTCTTGAGTGCCATTTCAGTAGTTTAAGTTAAAAAGGGAGACCTTGTCCCTTCCCTCGAGTTCCTGGTCTGAGCCAGCAGCAAAATATCATACTGTGACAGGGTGGGACAGCCTCAGTTATTCAGAAAAGAAGAAAATAGAATTCAAAAGGCAGCTCAGTCAGAAAGGGAAAGAAAAATAGAAGGAAAATCTTGCCTCTGAGAGAGGGAAGTGGGCAAGGGCATCATACCAGGGACCTTGGGGCCTTCTGCACGCAAAGCAGATGCTGTGTTGGGGAAACATGGCCCCAACCCATTTGTGCCAACAGTTTCACTAGTTATGAGCAAAACTTCATCCATTCATGGCCAGGGTCCGACATACCTGAGGGACCATCTTTCCCCATATATGCCCCAGAGAGCACTGCATTCAGGGACCGAGAACCAACTGGTCCTCCCGAGTATTAAGGAGGCCAGGTTGGCAACAACCAGGGCCAGGGCCTTTTCGGTGGAGGTGGAATGAGCTCCCAGAGGAGACCAGGACCCTGCGGGATCTTTTACAGTTCTGCAGGGCCTGCAAAATGGAGCTCTTCTGCCAGGCTTTTAGAGCCATCGCCACCACCACCACAACTATTGGGGTCACTATCAATAACAACTGACAACCATGGTGGAAGCCCTGAGCCATTGGTCCCTGTGACTAGTGCCTGTCCTAGCCCGCCCAACTGAAGCAGACCGATAGAATTAAAGCAAAACTGGAATGACTAGCACTTTAACACTATGTTTGATTTTAACATTGTTTTTATATTACTGTATTATTTTATATTACTGTATTATTATTTATCAAGAACTGTATTAGTGTAATGAATCGTGTTTTATGTATTACTAGGAATAAGGCCTGTTGTGGAAATAAATACAATGAGATCTAGAAAGAGGCTCTAGGTGGGTGCCCCGGCCTTGGGCACTCAGTGTCAATTTGCTGTGGTGACCTATGCAGGGTATAATGACACAGAGTCCACCATTTTCTCCAGGGGAACTGATCTCTGCCATCTGGAAAGCAGTTGTAATTCTGAGTGATCTCCAGCCCTCACCTGGAGATTGGCAACAATGGTTTTTACCTCAGAACACATTTTACCTCAGAACAGCAAACTGTTTAGAATGTTAGAGGCAAAGGCCAATCAAGTCACATATGCAAATGACCTCTGTGTTCCAAAGCAAAGGCCAATGAGGTCGCATATGCAAATAACCTCTGTGTTCTGACTGGCTATGGGGGGGAGAGGAACAGCAAACTGTTTAGAATGTTGGAGGCAAGACTCAAGCAACGCAGCCAGTGGATAGGGACAGATTCTGAATGACACACCAGGGCGCCAACCAATTCGGGAGCGTGTGGAATGTTCTGTAGAGTGCCACCACCAGGCAGCTTTTATATATAAGGAGAGATGAGGTTTTTATTCTGTTGTAAGCCGCCCTGAGCCAGCCTAGGCTGGAAGGGCGGGATAAAAATCAATAAAATAATAAATAAATAGTAACCTTTGCAATGATGTCAAGAGTCACCCGTCTCAGCAGGTCCATCATATTTACACCTGTCTCTCCATCAGCTTTCTCTTCCAACACCTTCATAAGGTCTTCTGCTTTGTCATTGAAGATTCCCATCAAGCCAATCAGATAACTGGACAATTTAAAAACATCACTGAGTGAAAAGCTTTGTAGTGAGGTAAGAAGTTATCCCATGTGAAAACACAAGGTTATAGAGTAGGTAATCACATGGGGAGGCACAATAATTTTAAGTAGGGAGATGCCACCCCCCAAGGTACAGATAGGACTTTTGTATCCTTTTTGTATCCTTTTTGTATGGGGGGTAAAGATTGTCAGCTCTGGGTTGGGAAATACCTGAGTGGAGCCTGGGGAGGGACCTCAGCAGGTTATAATGCCATACAGTCCACTCTCCAAAGCAGTCATTGTCTGCAGGGGAACTGATCTCTATATAGTCTGTAGATCAGTTGTAATTCCAGGAGATCTCCAGGCTACATGGAAGTTGGCAATCCCAGGTGTTTTCCCAGTAGCAGGACTTCCTGGCTTTTCTTTTCTTTTTTTAAACCCTACTCTAATCATAACAGTCTATGTCTTTTCTATGACTTCATCCTTGGTAGTTGATTGGTCAGCTTTGAAAACCTCCAAGGAAGAGGACTTATACCCCCTCTAGGCAGATTTCCCCTGAATTCATTATTAGGATGTCTTTTCCAACATCTCATGACACATTTGTTTGGCCACATTGCATATCCCTTTCACATATAAGCCCTTTTCAGTCACTGCGATCGCTTGGCTTGCGATTCTCTCATTATGCATGGTCGCCATTTTGTTTGAATAGGACAATGTGTATTTTTTTTTCCTAGCTTCATCCACAGGGTTCTCTGCTGAAGTCACCTGCTGCCGTCTCCCAAGCTATAGACCAGGACTGGAAACGGGACGATGTCATTTCTAGTAAATCACAATGAACTCAGTGGAATATATTTCTTTTATCTGGAAAATCTGTATGTCACCTCTCCAGACTTGCTCAAGGCAGCTCAACACAACAGTTTACTTGGTAGTAAGCACATTCAGAACAAGGATATACATTTACTAATCCAGGCTCTAAGAAAAACCGCCAAAGTCAAATATTTTTCCCTCACGTTCGGCTAAAAGCTGGATCTATAATTCTCCGTTGCTTGTGCCAGCGTTCATGGTTGGGATCTACTACCAAGCCATTTCCTAGAAACCTGCAAATATAAGGGGAAATGGTATTAATATCAAGATATCACATACCGGTCCTTTGATTTATGGTGATGAAGACTGGGCAAGGCCAACCCAAGGGTTTTGGGTACTCTAGGCAAACTATGACTTTGGTGCCGCTCAGTTCAACATACATATACAAACATAATAAAACATCAGTAGGGCTGCACTACCAGGGAGTAAATCAAACTGAACACAGTGCAACTTATTTCTGAGTAGACATGCACAGGAGGAATGCTGACTTGCCTCCCTCTTGGCCCTGCACCTTGGGGCTGCCCGTGGTCCTCTTTTTTAGTGTCCCGAAAAACCTCTTATGCCCTAAGGGATGGCCTAGTGGACAGGCCAGCCCTGAGATCTGGATATTGGCCACAAGCTCCCTCCTCCCAGCTTGCAAAGTAGATTGCCATGTGGCCTGGATTGAAAAAATATGGCTTTTACCTCTACACAGAATTGAAACTATGGTTTGAAGCAGGTTTCAGACCATCAACTGGAGACAAATGTAAGTTTTGACCATTTACAGTCTGCATCACAGGCTGTCTTGTGTACTTCCATGTTTGGAGATGTGATGGGTAATTACCAGAGACAGGGCCTTCTGTGTGGTGGCACCTCAGTTACGGAATGGTATATAGCAGTTTTCCTGAGAACAAGGTTTTTTAAAAACACACCAGAAGCACAATACAAACTCTTCTTCCTTTCCATTCCCAGGCATTCTTTTGACTGAGTTATATATGGTTTGGCTAAGAACCTCATGCCTCTTGCTTGGTTGTTTTCAAATTTTTTTTCCCTGTTGAGTAACAGTGGATTATTTGAGGACTGTGCCGCAATTAATATGGATTAGGTGAATGCAACAATTTTACTAAGGGTTTTTACTGGCTCATAAACAGCTAAGGAAGTATCAGGAATTTTTCTATTTGTCTTTTAAATTGTTATGTACTGGTTGAAGACTGTAATAATAAACTGACTGACTGACTGAATGCAACAATTCATTTATTTAGAAGTACAATACCAATGACTCTTGGACTAAGACTGTGATCCAATGCACATTTACCAAATAAAGTGTGTCTTACTGCTGAAAACACAAGAGGGGAGGGGTTGTGGCTCAGTGGCAGAGTGTCTACTTGGCATGCAGGAGGTCCCAGGTTCAATCACTGGCATCTCTAGCTTAGGATCATGTAGGATCATCCAGTATGTATGTTCCTCATTTCTCTTCTACATCTGGGTAACAAAACTGAACATGCATATTGGATGGGGGATACATTTCTGAGTAGCAAAGTGTGTGAACAAGATCTTGGGGTATGGGTGGACCGAAAGTTAAATATGAGCAGTCAATGTGATGCAGCGACAAAAACAGCTAATGTGATCTTGGGGTGTATGAACAGAGGCATAACATCCAAATTGCAAGAAGTCATAATCCTGCTGTACACTGCATTGGTCAGGTCGCACCTGGAGTATTGTGTGTAGTTCTGGAGGCCTCACTTCAAAAAGGATGTGGACACAATGGAGTGGGTGCAGAGGAGCGCGATGAGGATGATCAGGGGCCTGGAGACCAAGCCATATCTATGTTCAACTTACAACTTTTATATTTCTGTAATTTTAAAACAAATCTTACATGCAGTAAAATACAGACAATGAGCTTTGTGGATATGTATTTTCTCTATGCTAACTTCAATTCACTGTGAAATAGCACAAATTACAAATATTATTTTTAGGGTTGGGTTTTTTTTACTTTTTCCTGGAAACTGTCAATTTTGGTCAATTGTTAATTTCTTTTAATCCCACACATCATGCGTAATTTATCTTTAAATTAACCTACCTTACACCAAACATATTAAAAAGACTAGAATATGCATCTGGGTCTTTTGGGTACTGTGGTTGCATCAGATACTCCTAAAGATAAACCACAAGTCAGTTCACTTTCACATACAACAACAACAACAACGTATTATTACCCAGACACAGCTACACATTTGGTGAGGATATAATTTTCAGGGGTTGTAAGAAAATCTTTCCGTGTCAGAGTTCTGGACTTTGTTTCAGAGTCTGGCTATTGAACCATGAGGGTGGATACTATTGGGTATCTCAAGCAAAGGAAACCTTTACCTTTTTTTAATCTAGAAGAGTCAGGCTGACGGGGGTTACCAAAACAGAAGGCCTCCAAATATCTTTTTCACTTAAGCTTTTATTTTGAAAACTGTGGGACTGGTGATGGGGGAGAAAAATCCATGTGGAAAGATAGGTGATCAGAGGCTGATTCAGAGAAATCTCAGGTGTATTAAGCTGGAAACCAATTAAACTGTATGACATGATTTCAGTTTTGTTGTGCGCCGCCCTGAGCCCTATTGGGGAATAGGCAGTACAAAAGCTGAATAAAATAATAAATAAATAATCAGTCTGGCAATCAGACAGTAGCTTGGCCCATTGATCTTCTGTGAGGAACATACAACTGTGAGAAAAGAGGTTGGTGCTCCAATGGAAAATGAACGGGAGCAGATTTAAGGACCAGCTAGCAATTTCCTTCCATTCTAATCTTGGGTAGCTGATACCTACACCTCAGTGACACTTCCCAAATAAGCATGTAGAGAACCATACACATCAATAAACAATTCTTATGACTGGCTGTCGCGGCATATTCTACAGTGTAATCTTGAAAAGAACTGTGTGCATTAGAAGAAGAGAAGACGAAGAGAAGAAGAGATTGGATTTACACCCCGCCCTTCACTCGGAGTCTCAGAGCAGCTTACAAACTCCTTTCTCTTCCCCTCCCCACCACAGACACCCTGTGAGGCAGGTGGGGCTGAGAGAGCTCTGACAGAAACTGCTCTTTTTCAAGGACAGCTCTTATCAGAACTATGGCTTGCCCAAGGTCATCCAGCAGCTGCAAGTGGAGGAGTGGGGAATCAAACCGGGTTCTCCCAGATTAGAGTCCGTGCACTTAACCACTACACCAAAGTGACATTATGTGCTATCAAGTGGCTTCTGACTTATCGCGACCTCCAAAACATCGAGTTACATCCTTCTAAATCGACTAAAATCAGCGTGCTTGATGGTGTTAGGACTGCTATTAAAAAGAGACGATAATCCTGTGAACTGCTCCTTTATCTTAAAGATGTAAGCGTCTACTCTGAAAATAATAATTTTCGCGGATTCATCTACTGCAATTCTTTAGTCCAGTAATCAACTGGAAAAAGTTATATTAATATT